TCAAAAATCATTTTCGCGATGCCTTCAATATACATCTTTTTCTTATTCTGACCACGTCTGGTTCCCACTCTCACAGACTCGTCCACATGATCGCATAAAATGTCCTTGGCAGCTTCCACTTCTTCATCCGAGAAACTCTCACTTACCAATTTAACGATAACATCAAGTGGCACGCTATCAACCTTGCACAGCATGTAGCACAACAACTCGTTGATAATGATGCTCATGCTTGCTGTTGCATCATCAAGTTCTTCAGTGTCAGCATTCAGAAAATCGCACGTGCTTCCGAACAAAAAAGTTGCTTTTGGCTGAGGCGACAAAAATGCGAAGATGTAGCCAAAAATGTATAAAAATATCGAAATTAGAAATCAGATACCTCAAAGGTTACACTGAATTACTATCCGATATTGCGGCCTCTGGAAGATTATTAAACGCTCTTCATAATGGATCACAATTCGAGCATGCCCTGTATAAATTGACCAAATAGGCACTTCACGAAGACGGAGCAACAAAAAGCCAGCCGTCTTATCCAAGAGACACCGACGAAGTCCCAAAAGGGGCCCTTGGCGGCCTCTTAGGGCTCGAACTGCCAACTGGTGACAAGGGCTCTAAGAAGCCGGCGTGGGGCACTTACGGAGATCTTAATACGCCACTTTAGGGCCCATGAGATGCTCTGACGAGCCCCTTTGAGACGAAATATGGCCAGCGTGGACCCTCTGAGCGGCCGATTGGCGCCGCAGGGACCCGAAGGCCCCCTGGACCGGATGGGAGGGGCACGTGCCCCCTGTGCCCGCCCCCCCCCCCCCACTTGGCTACGCCACTGGAATCTATCATGTTATGTTTAAGATCTCTGCAAGATGTATCCCCCGTTTACTGACTCTGCAGAGAAAAGGCAAGCTCGAAAGGAGGCTTAGCGCGGTGTTTTTGACCCCTTTATCAAATATCTAGAAGATGTCATTGACTTGTCACCGTAAAGGAATTGTGGGTGTCACACGTTGACACTAAGGGACACCGAGCCGAGTAGCGCAAGTGGAAGCACACCGAGTAACGGCCACCAAATGAGTGTTACGAGTTGAAGTTAGTCGGCAAGGTGATAGTGGTTGCATTTTGGAATGCCGACGGGTCTCTGCTTGTCAACTTTCTAAAACAGGGGCGCACAATTGATGATGTGCGTCCATTCGATAGACATCGAGGAGAGGCTACAGGGAAGCTGACATAAAGTGTGCACCTGATCCACGGCCACGCACCTGCGTATACATGCGCGGGGTGACGATCAGTGAAGCGATGAAATGTGGCTTCGAAGTTCGAGTTGTCGCATCCACTTTTTTCCGAACCCTGCACCCTCTGGTTGCCACCTCTTCCCCAACATACGAGGGGCGTTCAAAAAGTTCTCGGCCCGACCATGAAGGAGCAGAGATACGACGTCGACTTATTAGACCAAAAATGTTCATTTATTCAAATAACCAGCGTTAAGACAAAAACATTTCGCGCAGCGCTTCGCGAGAGGCCCCTGGGTCTCCATAGCCAAGTGGGTTTCGGACGCATCTGGCACGTCCAAGACGGCTGCTTTTGTCTCCTTGCTGTCAGAGAAGTTGCCACTGCCAAGCAATTTCCTGATGTTGGGGAGGAGGTGGCAGCCTGAGGGTAAAATGTACGTGGAAAAAAGTGAAAAAAAAAACAACAACTCGAAGCCACAGCTCACTGCTTCGCTGATCGTCACCCTGCTCATGTGTGCTGGTGCGTGGTCCTGGATCAGGCGCACACTTTTAGTCAGCTTCCCTAGTCTCTCCTTGATAACTGCTGCTCGCTACTGTTATCGAAGGGAGGTGTAGTATTCATCATTAATTGTGCGCCCCTGTTTTCGAAAGTTGACGAGCAGAGTCCCGCCAGCATCCCAAAATGCAACCACTGTCACCTTGCCGTCTGACTTAAACACGTCGCACACATTTGGTGGCCTTTACTCAGTGTGCTTCCACTTGTGCAACTCGGTCACGCCCTTAGGGTCAACGTGTGACACCCACAATCCCTCCACGGTAACAAGTAGTTCAATGAACTCTTTTGGACCTTCGATATAGGGGCCAAAATTTTCGCGTTACGCCTCCTGTCGAGTTTGCCTTTCCTCTGGAGTCAGCAAACGGGGGATGCATCTTGTAGAGATCTTAAACATATAAATACGCTGTCGAAGAATGGCTTGGAGGAACCTGATAGACACCTCCGCTTCCGCTGCGTTGTTCCAGACCAGAACATTTGTCATTTTTCACAAAGAAGTGCTTATGTTTCATATTTTCTTGAGTCAATGCTGTTGATTGCTGGCCACTGCGGGGGTGACCATTAATGATCTGTTGACTAAAATTGAACAGAGATGCCCACTTTTTGACGCTACTGTAAGAAAGACAAACCTCGACATGTGTTGGCACTAGCTTTTCGTGAATAACGTTTGGTGCATTTTTCTGCAATACATGAACCAAATCACTGTTCTCTTCTGGGCGTCGCCCATTCTGACCGGGAATGGCAAACTATGTTACGATTAATTAGCAGCCTGAACCAATCACAGAACAGATTGGTTAATGGCTACGTCAGTGGACATCCCAATAACACATCATTGAACACACCGCGTTGCAGGCCGAAATTCCAACTCCTTCATGGTTGGGCCGGGAACTTTTTGAACGCCCCTCGTAAGGAAATTAGCAGTGGCAACTTCGCTGACTGCAGGGAGACTAAAGCAGCCGTCTTGGACGTGGGATGGGTCCAAAACCCACTTGATTATGGAGACTTTGAGGGCTCTCCCGAAGCGCTGCGCGAAATGTGTTTGTCTTAGCGGTGGTTATTTGAATAAATGAACTTTTTGGTCTATAAGTCGATGATGTATCTCTCTACTTCTTCATGGTCGGGCATGTAACTTTCTGAATGCCGGCTCGTACTGTCATCCTTTTATTTTGGCAAGCAGGTCTTTCTAACTATTATGGTGTTTCGAGACCTCGTTAGTTGTCGTCTGTCGAACCCTGCAATTGGCGAAGGCCTTCAAAGCCGTTCCTGGCCCCGCACTCCGCAGCCGTGTTTTTCATTCGGCTTGGGCCATCAAAACCGTTCCTGGCCCCTTTCAGCACAGCCGTGCTTTTAACCCGCGCCGGGCCGGGGGGGTGTTTGAACACCCCCCCTTGCGGTTTTTCGCAGATATCTCAAAAACGGCGGCGCGAAGCGCCGCCGTTTTTGGCACACCTGTTTGTGCATCTTTTCCGCACATGTTGTAAAAATTCCAGACTCAGGTCACCTTAGGTCAGGTCACCAGGTCACGCCAAGTGACCTCACCTCAGAAAAAATAAGAATGCTCGTCATAGCTACACCGACTGAACGATTGCCTTGAAACTTTCAGCGATTGATTAGAGCAACACTATCTATAAAATGCATATCTCGGAATTTTGATATCGGTGACCTAAGGTCAGGTCAATTTTGCGGCCTCTCCATTATAAGTCAATGTGAGAAAATTGAAAAGCGCCTGTTTTGCACGAACGCTATTCTAGACACTCTCAAACATCGAGATGTAGGTAAAATAGACACACTGAACCAGAAAATGGTAACTGTGACCCCTCGTTATGTCCCCGAGGTCATCTCAGGTCACGAGCAGAATCTAACAGCTTTTCGATGATAACTTCTGATAGAGGCGTGCTAGAGCGCTGAAAACGCCTTAGATGTGTTCGGCTCGACGTTGCGGATCGACTGATATGCAACATGACCTTTTCCGGTCAGGTCATGACCTTGACCTGAGGTCAAATTTTCAAGTTGACCTTTCAAGGTCAAATTATAGTTCATTCGACGCGTCTCGACGAGAGGAACATGATGCTGGCAAAAGTAATGTCATAGCTCTTTTGAGTCAAAAGTTATTGCCGAAAAAAACGTTTTTCGTAAAAACGGCTATTTTTTGGAGTTTTTGCCCTCTGGAGGCTAAACCGTTGACCTGAGGTCAAATCTGAGAACATTACTCAGAAGGGAGTGTAAAAGGGCTATCGAATGCGCTTTTTTGCCCCAAAAATGACCTGACCCCAAAAATGGCCGAAATGTTTTCGTCCTTATTTTTGACGTTCTTTCGATTGCCGCTTACCGCGTGTCGCTACGTGGCCCAGGAGCCGAGTTAGAAGGGGGGTGTTCAAACACCCCCCGCGGCCCGGCGCGGAATTTCAGAGCACCGGCCCGGCGCGGGTTAAGTCGGCGTGGGCCTCTTTCAGAATGGCGTGCATTCCTCCGACACTATTAAAATTTATAACTGCTTATTTAACTGCACGTTTTGTGCATGGAGCTCGTTGAGGACCTAGACTTTCAAAATGTTTTTTTTTTTAGATTTTGGTTTGTCTTGTCAATGACCAGGGCGAAAAATCAGTGGCCGAAATCCGATGAGAAAGGCAGATTTGGGGGGTACCCTACCTTTTAAGCCCCGTCACATATGGCCGGCCGCCGCCTTTGGGCCCTACCAATCATTTTCGGAAAACGACACCCCTGACCGAATGAGCTTTGCTGATTGGCTTCATCGGAAAGCTTAGGCCATAAAAGGAACTATCCAGTGGTGAAAATAATGTTTTCGAGGAGGTTAGGTTCAAACATTCATCACCCACTCCTTACGGCGCCGGTTACTTTGCCAATTACTTACATGACGGTGAAGGGATTTGTGGCCGATCAGGAAAATCAGGAGTAGTAAAGTAATCTTGAGGAAAATAACTTCAAAAGGCTTCAAATTCAGCTACCAAATTATACCATCCTCATTTGCCCATCCGATTTCAGTAGAAGCAGACAACATTATTCTTCCTTATACTTGACGTTCCTGAGTGAAACTGCTTGTTGTATTAAAGGCTGTCTGCTATAGACAAAAACACAGCAAGCAATTAATTAGCAGAGAGAACGTAAGCATTTTAGTTACACACATGTTATAAGCGAAAATGACGCAAGTATTTGCACGTGATTTCTACCGATCCGATACAATATACATATCTGGCGAGAAAGTTTCTTTTTTGGCGCAAACACCATCCACACTCTGTTTTGGTTTGTGGATCAGGATTGTGGATCGATTGTGCACAAGCCACATGTCCAAGCACGCACGTGATTAGGGTGTTTCTGGGCCAAAGGTGGATTGATTAACGTTTAAATAATAATTGAATATTAGAGAAATGGCCAACAAAACCATTGAAAATATTTTAGCAACGCTACCAGATAATGTCGACCTTGGTGGTACGTAAATATTTGTTGTGTGATTTTGTCAATGAATTGAGATGGTTGTTGCCTTTTTGCATTTGGCATCGTAGCTAAATAATAGGTAATAGGTAGCTAATTGGATAAAGAATGGGCGAAAGACAGCCTAAAAGAATACTTCATATTTCGGTTCCGGGTGTTACCTATAATCACTGACAAATCTGTATTGGTATAGATGAATAATTATTGCCACAATGAAATGCACCCTCTTTGGTTTGTGAAGTGTGAGAAACCATGATTATTTACAATATATTTAGTGTTAGCCAATTATTATCAAGACTCCATTATTTTTGCTTGATTTGTTTACTTATGCTTATAGTATGCGGAATTTAGGAAGTCCTTTCGGCCTCTTGGATCTGGACATTGTTGTGTATTAGGATGATGTCTCTTGTGACGTCATTTACTCTGCCTGGATTTAGAGAGTGTGCCTCATATGGAGAACCTTGGAAGTTGTGGTTCTTGGCCTTGTGTAGTATGGAAGAAACGTTCTGAGTAAAAAGGAGTCTTTGGAGTCAGCCAAAAGCATGAAGTACAATCGGAAGTAGCAGAATAAGGAAATTACTGACCACTCGATACACAACAAAATGGCGACGAAGGTAAAATACGCGATTTAAAGTCCCGAAGACGCATCTGTAAGGCGCAGCACGTGTCGCGCCAAAGTTTGTCGCATTTCAAGGTTAAGGGCATATCTCGAGTTGGAAGTGCGCCAGTATTTGTCGATTTGGATATTTTCTGAATTATGGCTGTTAGTCTGCCTCCACCACCAAGTATCAAGGAAGGTGAAAACTTCATGACATGGATCAAATCAGTGGAAATTTACATGGGTGCAATTGATGTGAAAACTGCTTCTCAGAAAGTCAATATTGTTCTGCACCTTCTCGGACCTGATGTTCAAGGTATTATCGATACTTTGCCAGAGGGGGAAGGGACAAATGCATATGAAAAGTTGAAAGATCAGCTGGAGAAGCACTTCAAGCCAAAAGTAAACGCAGTAGTTGAGCGACATCACTTCAACACAATGGTGTACGAAGGCGGAAGAGTGGAAGGATACGTAGCAAAGCTGAAAACTCAAGCTCGGAAGTGTGACTTTGATGTCAATGAAGTGGATAACCTGGTGAGAGATAAGCTGGTTGCAACATGTCCCTCATCCAGAGTAAAGGAGAGCATGCTTAAGGAAGAAAAGCTGACTCTAACCAAAGCCATCTCTATATGGTCGACAGATGCCACTGTTCGAGAGCAAGCTCGGAAGATGGAAGTGTCAGAGGAAGGAGCATCAAGGAAAGATGAAAAGGTGAACAAGGTCAACTGGAAGCAGGCAGAAAGAAAGCCAAAGAAGGATGAAGCTGTGAGAGGGCAGCAAAACCAGATGAAAAATGCAAGAGGTAAGATGATGCAAAGCAGTCAAAGGGAAGATGAAAGGAAATGCTTCAGATGTGGCAAAGGTAACCATCTGATAAAAGACTGCAGAGTGCCGAAACATGTCAGATGTAACAACTGTTCAAAGCCGGGTCATCTCCAAGCTGCGTGCAGGAACCCGAGTGCTGAAGAGAGAGTGAGGGTGAACTGTAATGAAGGTGACAAAGTAGAAGATGACGAGGAAGACAACTATTGTGTGTATCAAGCAAGCAGGGAGAAGTCAAAGGCGATCAAGGTGAGCATGTCCGTAAATGGCAAGGATGTGGAATTCCTGGTTGACACAGGATGCCCAGTGACGTTGATGCCAGACAGTGTGCTTCCTGGACTGAGTCTGCGGAAAGCTGGATGTCGTCTGACCTCATATACAGGGCACAAGATCCCTGTGCTGGGTGTCACAGATGCAGAAGTAGTGTACCAAGGAAACCAGAAGGAACTGGAAGTGCATGTGGTGGAAGGAGATGGACCTCCACTACTGGGACGTAACTGGCTGAAAGAAATCAGACTGGACTGGGAACAGCTGGTGGGAAGTATGCAATCTCAGAAGACAATGCGTTGGAAGCTGGAAGATGTTCTGCAGAGGAATGAAGAGCTGTTTGATGGTACGCTGGGTCAGATGAAGAACACTGAAGCTCATCTAGAGCTGAAAGAGGATGCCAAACCAGTGTTCCAGCCACCACGACCTGTGCCATATGGTCTCGCGGACAAAGTGAAGCAAGAGTTGTCAAAATGGGTGGAACTTGGAGTGACAAAAGAACTGACGTCAGAGGATGCAACGCCGAAATGGGCCACGCCTCTCGTAGTCGTGCCAAAGCCGGACGGATCAGTAAGGCTCTGTGGAGATTTCAAGGTAACGCTGAACCCAAACCTGGAAGTGCCGAAGCACCCGCTGCCGAAGATGGAGGACATTTTTGCAACAGTGGGACCGGTTCGATACATCTCAGTGATTGACCTCTCCCAAGCGTATCTGCAGATGCCCCTCAGCACAGAAAGCCAGGAGTACTGTGTTCTCAACACACCATGGGGGATGCACCGTATGCTGCGACTACCATACGGGGTGAAGTCAAGTCCAATGCTCTTCCAGAGGGAAATGGACAGAATCCTCAAGAATGTGCCTGGAGTGAAGTGTCTGTTGGATGATATGCTCATCACAGGAAGAACTGAAGAAGAAGCACTGAAGCGACTGGACGAAGTGATGCAGATCATGAAGTCACACGGTCTGCGTCTGAAAAAGGAGAAATGTCAGTTTCTGACAAAGGAAGTCCGGTACCTAGGGCTCAGGCTAGGAGCCGAGGGCATCAGAACAGATCCAGAACGTGTGAAAGCCGTGCTGAACGCAAGAGCACCCACCAACCAGAAAGAAGTTCGTGAGTTTCTCGGTGCTGTCACGTTCTACAACCGCTTCCTGAAGAACCTCTCGAAGACAGCAAGGCCGTTGAATGAACTCCTGAAGAAAGACAGCGAATGGAAGTGGACTGCAGAGTGTGAAGCCAGCTTCAACAGCATCAAGAGACAGCTGTCATCAACGGAAGTGCTGCGTCATTTCGACGTGACGGAGCAGGTGACGGTGATCACGGACGCTAGTCCAGAAGGACTAGGCGCCGTACTCGTTCAAGGGAAGGATGAGCGGCCGATCATGTACGTGTCAAGATCGCTGAGTGAACACGAGCGGAAATACTCTCAGATAGAAAGGGAAGGACTCTGTGTAGTCTGGGCATTTCAGCGACTGAAGCAGTTCCTGTACGGGCGCCATTTCAAGCTCGTAACGGACAACAAGCCGCTAGCTCACGTCTTTGGACCTAAGGCGCCGCTGCCGACGTTGGCTGCCTCACGGATCCAGAGATGGGCGATGAAGTTGGCGGAGTACGATTTCTCTGTGGAAGTCAGGAAGTCGGAACAGATTCCAGTAGCTGATTGGCTCTCACGTCTACCGAGAGAAGGCTCAGTGCTGAAGTCAGAAGCACCAGAAGACGAGTGCACTGTCTGTCTGATCGGACAACTGGAGTCGCTAAGTCCGGTGACGGCCGCAGCGATTCAACGAGAGACGGCCAGAAGCCCAATCCTGGCGAAGGTGATGCACTTCGTGCACAACGGCTGGTCAGAAGCCGTAAATGAAGAGCTACAACCATTCAAGATGAGGCAAACCGAACTGACCGTGGAGCGCGGATGTCTAATGTGGGGATGTCGCGTCGTGGTTCCGCCGAACCTGAGATCCAGAGTGCTGAGCGAGCTGCATGCCGGACATCAAGGAATGGTGAAGATGAAGCAGCTCGGAAGGATGCACGTCTGGTGGCCGAACATGGACAAGCAGATCGAGGCGGAAGTCCGGAACTGCGAAGGCTGCTGGCAAAAGCGAGCAGAGCCACCAAGCGGAGATCTCCACCCATGGGAGTATGCCAAGGGACCCTGGCAACGGATACATCTAGATTTCGCTGGTCCTGTGGAAGGTAGATTCTACGTGGTTGTCATCGACAGCTACTCGAAGTGGATGGAAATCGCTCCAATGAAGACCATCACAACAGAGAAGACGATTGAATACCTGCTGAACCTGTTCGCTAGGTGGGGACTGCCTCACCAACTGGTCACGGATAATGGTCCACAACTCGTCAGCAAGGACTTCGAAGGGTTCTTGGAGAGGAACGGAATCAAGCACAGTGTCACAGCGCCGTACAAGCCGTCCACTAACGGAGCTGCGGAAAGAGCAGTGGGTTGTCTGAAGAACCTGCTGAAGGCCTCAAAAGGCAAGAAGGTCAACATCCCGAACTTCCTGATGGCGTACCGCAGTACGCCACAAGCGTCAACAGGACGTACACCGGCGGAGTTGATGCTGGGCAGGCCGCTACGAAACCGCCTGGACCTCCTGAAGCCCAACCTCGCAAGTGAAGTTCGAGAGAAGCAACAGGAACAAGTAGAAAGATCACAGAAGGGAACCGACAGAACGCTCGAAGTCGGCGAATCAGTCCTGGTCCGCGACTACCGAGGTGCACAGAAATGGAGGGAGGGAGACGTCATCGAACGTCAAGGCAGTAAACACTACCTAGTCCAAGTGCAAGACGAAGTGTGGCGTCGACACATCGATCAGATTGTCTGTCTGCCAGGTGTCCGACCTCCAGTGACTAATCTGCGGCAGGAGATCAATCCGTCTGAGCACTGCAATCTCCCAGCGCAAGACGCACCAGCGGTGCAGCGGGAACATGGACCGCCACTGCATAGCGCTGTGGAACAGTCGGTAACTTCAACCGGTAACCGCGGGCTCGTGCTGGAGGAAGATGGGATCGCTGCAACACAGTCACCTGAAGCAGCGTCAGCAGCGAAGGCGAACACTGAACAAGAGACTGTAGGTCCTAGGGCACGTCCAGCGGACGTCATCCGGAAGACCCCAGAACTGCGCACTCATCCCCAGCGTGAGCGTAAACCTGTAGTGCGCATGAACCTGTAAAGTGTTGTTTAGTGGGGAGGAGTGTTGTGTATTAGGATGATGTCTCTTGTGACGTCATTTACTCTGCCTGGATTTAGAGAGTGTGCCTCATATGGAGAACCTTGGAAGTTGTGGTTCTTGGCCTTGTGTAGTATGGAAGAAACGTTCTGAGTAAAAAGGAGTCTTTGGAGTCAGCCAAAAGCATGAAGTACAATCGGAAGTAGCAGAATAAGGAAAGTACTGACCACTCGATACACAACAGACATGACGAGCTATGTGTCAGTGTGTCACTGCATCAGTCGTTGAAGTGTAAGGTGTACTTGGCGTGAGCCCAGTGTTTATCAAGCCTGCCCTTAAAGCTGTTGACAGAGGGAGCATAGACCACAGCAGGGGGCAGAGAGTTCGGAAAATATTTATCAATAATTTTCAATAGGTTTTTGGCTATTGAATGCAATCCAGAGTCAAAGCATGGCAACAAGGTGAATGAAGCACTGACCACTCAAGCTGGGGTGACAAATCCATGCCAACCTGGCTGGAAATCCGCATCAGCCTGCAGTCAACAAATCCTATAGTTCTTGCTGCATGTCCAAACCCACAGTTGTGATATGGCAAAAGTGTATAAAAGTGAATTCTTTGGCCAGGCTGACCCAGTTATGTCTCAGGACCTTATGCATTATTTTTTTTTTTCAGACAAAGATGCTCCAGCACAAAGACATAGCACAGTTCCCTGTAAGGGCCTACACTGTAGTGGTGTGGATTCTAGCAAATCTCAACACCACACACTGACAGATTTTCCCAGCACTGAGAAGCTCTCGTCAACATTGTCATGCCTTGCAGACTTGCAGTGTGGAATGCCATTGTATTGGTGTAAATAGCTAAAAGCAAAATATGCCATTGACAATTAGTGAAGTACAAGCAAGGCGCAAGGGCCAAGGGCTTCGGTCCCTTCTGCAGCATCCCACATTGGCGAAATTTTGCTGTTTTCCTTGCCTAAAAACAACTATGTAGGACTAGGTAGGTATATCAGAAAAGGCTTGTTTTCATTTGCACTGCAGCACATAAGCAAGCAATATCCAATGATCATTTTGTGAATAAATAAACTTTTTGAGAATATGTCCCCTGCACTCCTGCATGGTTCAGGAATAACTTTGGTTGTCTTGAATGAGCAATCACTGTTGTTGCATTTATAGTGACTCATGCGAACGTAGTGCCACCTGGTGGCTAGATTAGGCAGCTGACCAACCACCGCGGATTTCATCGCCAGGCGGCGACACCGTCGCTATTGTTTCCCTTGACGACCGGTCGCTGGCCCCCAAAGTCACTCGAGTTCTCGTGTTCGCCGATAATCACTTAAATGCACGTTCATTCACTCCTGCCCCATGCCTCAGAATTTATTTTTAAAGCTCATGGAAACCCACACCTGCGAAATATAATTCTACCGGGTCACTGTCTTGGTTCTAGTTCATATGTTAACTGTAAGATCTTCACTTAGCGTTGCAAAGAAAATGCTGCAATTAGTCTCTTGTTATTGACAGATTTTGACGCAAACGACATCTAACATAAGATGGTACATTTCTCATTTCAGAATGCACCGGATTGCTGCAGGTCCAGGCAGCAGAGATCAAGGCCCAGAAAGTCAACTGGCAGTCTTACCTACAGTGAGTACCTATGCAGGAGCAGGCCACTTTTGAGTTCAGTGGATCTATGTCATACACAATACACATGACACTGACTGATGTATCACAGGCTCACAGCCTATTTCTTTTCTTTAAATTGCAGCTGACTGGTGAAATTTGTCACCTAGTCAATGTAGTTGGATGTTTTGGCAATGCTTTTGATGTCTTTTGTACACCTTGCACTTCTGGAAAGGATTTTCATGGCTCCAAGAAAGCTTCTTTATGTTGAGCGATACTATCGACACGAGCGGTACACATAAGGCTCAGCAACATGGACAGCTGCCCCGCCCATTTCCCAATCCCTTCATCCTGCTTAGAACGACCATATTTAGTCTCAAACCATCCACCTCCGCAGGTCTCAGATGATCAGCCAGGAAGACTACAACTTCATCCTGGCCTACGACAACGCCGTGGGGAACCCGGAGAAACGCAACGCCATCCTGCGTGAGCACGGCCACCAGTGCGCCAAGACGTTTCTCAACCTGCTCGGCCACATCTGCAAGGACCAGACCATCCAGTACCTGCTCATACTCATCGAGGACATGCTCACGGTCGGTTTCTGGGGATCATGTCTCGTTTTGATGCTTCCCACCCTGTGTGATGCCCACGTCCTAACCGTCATGCAGGCGTTTGAGAGTGTTTTTGCTGTTGATCCGTTGCTTATTTTTGTCATACCATTCTTCATAATGCGAGAATGGGTGTGCTTGGTCGTTACTTTAACGTGAATTGTGCTTCTTGAGTTGACTTTGATTTTTTATATACCGCAAAGTCCCTGCAAGACTTATGTCGGTGGTTCATATCGAATGGGTTCGACCTGCGGAGTCCCCGAACTAAGCCCCAAATCGCCAGTTTGCAAAGGGAGCTCTGAACTGCTACTCCATATTACCTAAATCCCCACACAGGTCCCGGTTGTTGAGTCCGTTTCGTCCGGATCCCCGCAGGAGAAGGAGAACTGCCGCGTGTTCCGCGACTACGCCAAGAAGAAGCGCGAGAGCGTCTGGGCGCCGTTCCTGAACCTGCTGAACCGTCCGGACGACATCAGCGTCAACCTGACGGCCTGGATCCTGGCGCGGTTGGCCTGCGACGGCCGCCAGCTGATGGACGGCGGTGACCTGCAGTTCTACTTCACCTGGCTCAAGGACCAGCTGAAACGGCCGGTCAGTGGCATCCCGCCCGCGGCGGGGAAGGACAGCGAGCGGGGATAGGTGCTGAACGTGGTCCACAGTCAAACAGGCGGACTCTTTAGTGTCCTGACAGGCAGCTGTTACATAAACTGCTCAATTAGTTTAATCGGACTACGCTGACTCTTTGTAATGCGTACAATCGTACATGTTTGTGATATGTGCGTTGATATGAACATATGCGATAACCGTAAAACGACATAGTTTTTACATGTAGATTCTGGTCAATATACCACGTGCTCCGATTCTGCCTGTCTGCCCTGGATCAGAAATAGGCGACGCTTGCAGTTTGGCCATGCGCTGACGTGTCTCAATGTCTGTGCCTCCACAGAACAACCAGTATATTCCGACGATCGCGCGCTGTCTGCAGCTGCTGCTGCGTGTCGACGAGTACCGACACGCGTTTCTGCGCGTGGACGGCGTGTCCACACTGCTATCGGTGCTCAGCTCGGGCGTCAACTTCCAGTGCCAGTATCAGCTCGTCTTCTGCCTCTGGGTCCTCACATTCAACAGCGATATCGCCGAGAAGATGGGAAAGTGAGTGGCTCTGCACTCTCCCACCAGAACTGCCACGCTGTCGGCATTGAATGACACCATTTCTGGCTTGTCTGCAGTCTATGTCACCTGTAACACGCCTTGAATTTTTAAATATGTATGATAACTTCGTTTCAAAAAGGATAAAGTGCAAAATAGGACGACGTCAATACCCATCCCTGTACTGTTTATGTTTTGTTTGTTCCCCTCGTCTTCTTTGTTCCGCTTGGCGTCTTATTAACTCATTTCACACATTACAGCCTTCCCACCCTGTTGTGAGCTTCCCGATTGTCAGCCCTTGCCGTATCGTCTGACTCATAATCAGGGGCGTAGGATCCTATACAGTTGGGGGGGCTTCAGCCCCCCCCAACCTGCTGGTCAGCCCCCTCAACTTGCCAGGCAGCCCCCCCCCAACATTATAAAATACTGGCAAATTAAAGAAAGCTCAACTTGGCAAAGTTACAATTTTGGGCAGTAGTAAAGCAGGCGTCACACTTCTTTTGAAACCAAGGAGATGCGCTGTAGGTACGGCTATAGGGTGTAGGTTTTAGGTTTTAGGTGGTAGATTTTAGGTTGCAGGTTTTTGGTTGTAGGTTGTAGGTGAGTTTAGGTCAGGTTTGGTTAGGTTTGGTTTGGTTTGGTCCGATTAGAAAGCATCTCTGGAGTCTGGGTAAAGCGCCTCTCAGCTTTACGACTAACTACCCAATTTTGGCCTTAAAACTAACTGGGGCTTTGAAAATGTGCATTGCAATGGAGGGAGTAAATTTAATTTATAAAATGACTTTCGAGTCATTAGAAAGAACATACTAGCAAAACCAAACCAGGAAGGTACACAAAAATCAACTGTGGTTTTAGCAAGCCTGAAATAATCAATTGGTCAACATGTTTGTTAGGACGCCAGTGCAGCAGGCGTCACCAAGCAACTTTGGTTGCGGTATTTTACAAGAACGCAAGGCTATAGAACTCCAAGAACGGTTATCTCACCCCCCGAACGTTGTCACACCGTTTTTGTAACAAGACTAGTAAAATTTGAGTAAAATCAGTAAAATAGAGGTGAAATCAAGGCCGGTGAAATATCGTCAGCTGATTATGTTTATGATTGTGTCAAATCTTTAAAATAATAACGTCATAATGAATAAAAATAAACTGGCATTATCTTAAATGGATTTGGTGAAAGAAATTTGCACATTCACTAACTGTTAACTGTTTTTTCATCTTTTTTCTAAGATATCTCTTAGGTCTCGCCTTCAGAAGAAGGCCAAATCCTTTTTACGGAATTTGACGCCATCGCAGGCATAATAAGCTGACGATACAGCACAAAACCTTGCACGAAACCTTTGGATGTTTCTATGCGTGCGTTCGGCATCCGGATAATCAGGGAAATACGTTCAGTATCGCGATAACGAGACATGTTAAGAGAGACATGATAAGATAGGCACCCACCAATAATTTTCCGGCTGAGAATATCGAAGCGATATTTTCCGGATGCCGAACGCACGCTAAAGCGGCGCAGAAAGCAGAAAAAACAACAAAACAAAGGCGCGACACTTGACAGCTTCGTTTCGTTTGTTTAGGGGTGGGTGCAAGGCCATGTGGGTGGAACTCGGACGGTAGGACGAACGATGAGGACAATTGTTCAGGGATGTACCCAAGATGGACGGGGTGCCCCCCCCCCTCGGGGTTTTCAGGAGGCCCCCGTGGGCCGAAGGCCACGGGGGCCAAAATCACGTCGGAGGCGAAAGAAATTCAAGGGAATCCCAAAAATCACGTCAGGATATTCAGGGCCTCTGACCAGCCTGACAGCTAGGGTCCTTCTTACTTCCTGGGGCCTCCTGTGAATAACTGCTAGTGTCTGTGTCTGACCGCTAGGGCCCCTCTGACTCCTCAGTAGAGAGGAGGCCCCTCTGTAGAGAGGAGGCCCTCTGTAGAAAGGAGGCCCTCTGTAGAGAAGAGACCGTCTGTAGAAAGAAGGCCCTGTGTAGAGAGGAGGCCCTCTGTAGAAAGGAGACCGCCTGAAAGCAGAAGGCCCTCTGAAGAGAGGAGGCCCTCTGAAGAGAGGATGTCGTCTGTAGAGAGGACTTTCTCAGTAGAGAGGAGGCCGGAGGCCCTTTGCAGAGATGAGGTCCTCTGTAGAGAGGAGGTCCCCTGTAGAGACTAGAGAGGAGGTCCTCTGAAGAAAGGGTGCCCTCTGAAAGAGATAGACCCTCCGTAGAAAGGAAGTCCTCTGTAGAGAGGAGGTCTTCTGTAGTTGAGAGGCCCTGTGAAAAGAGGAGGCCCACAGTAGAGAGGTGGTCCTCTCTAGAGAGGAGGCCCCTCTGTGTTTTGATTTTTTTTTAATTTGTGTACCTACAGGTCAATACGAGATCGTGACTGTAATTACACCAACCAACCGTGTCAAATTGAATCGGAATTCATATGTGTACTGTGGAGTGTGAAGGAACTCTGGCTTGTACTACCATACTAAAAGAGTTGTAAAGTTTGTGATTTGTAGCAGTGTTTTGACAAATGCTTTTGCAAATTTTCTCGGCGCTCCGCGCCTCCGATTCATACACCAATCAATAAAAAAGGTCGTGACTGTAATAACACCAACCCTGTCAAATTGAATCAAAATTCCCTAAGTGTATAGTCGACTACAGAATGGTGTTCCACTCCTCAGAAGCTATCAGTTGACTGGAGCGCTAGTTGTGCCGTTTATCACGCAATTAAGCGCCTGTCGATTGTGAGCATTAGGACAAAGTTATAATTTGTGAACTCAGCCCGTGTGATGCGGCACAGCCTACCACTCCAGGCAAATATTTGCCTGTGAAAAGTGGAACATCATTCTGTAGTCGACTACCTATACTGTTAAGGAACTCTGGCTTGTACTAGCATGCTAAAAGGGTCGTAAATTTGTGTTTTGGAGCTGTGTTTTGACAAACGTTTTTTTTTTTGCAAATTTTCGGCTTTCGCAGCGCTTCGCGCCGCCGGTTCGTTAACAGGTCAATACAGAGATCGCTACTGTATGCTACTAATGCATTAGGCTAAAAGTGCGGTAACAATATCAACTTCTCGGGGTTTTTAAGTCGGTCGATACGCCCCCCCCCCCCAGTAAGAAATCCGTGGCGACGCTATACGTGGAATTAACTTAAACTACTGAGCCGAGTGACTTATAACGATAAAGCTTCATCTTAGAAACGACGAAGACGAAATATGCCTTTTGATCTCGACATACTCGCCCCCCCCCCCCCTCCTCCGGTCGTCAGAATTCATCCATCAGACCCGGCAAGTCGGCCGACCTGTAACCCCCCCCCCCCCACAAAAACGTTCGCCTAGATCCTCCCTTGCCCTCTGTAGAGAGGAGGCGCCCTGTAGAGAGGAGGCCCCCCGGGATCCTCCGCTCCCCCCCCCCCTTGGCCAAATCCTAGGTATGTGCCTGCAATTGTTTCGTGCATTTTGGAAGTAGGTATTCGTTTGGCTACACGACCTACAACTTTAAAAACAAAATTTTGCTTCCAATGATATGCAGAATGCGGGGGTTTTGCGAAATACTACAACAGAAATTGTTCTGTGACTGTCCTGTTTTACCGATCACAATCCGCCTACTTTGTCGATACCGCTATCGTGGCCCAAGAAATAGTCGAGGAGGTCCCTGAAACAGCCAAAAGGGAGCCATTAAACAGTCTACAATCTTTACACAAAAACTTGACCCTTCCGAAATGAAGTGGGTGATTGGTGAAAAAAGAGTACCTAGATTTTAGGAAAGTGCAGGGGTACCTCCAAGGAACCCCTGAAACAGTTTGCCAAACTAGGGGATAGGAATCTAAATACTGAATCAATCAAGAAATTGAATCTCTCATCAGCCTTAAGTATATAAGAAGAGCATACATATACCATTTTAGTGGCATCACTTTGCATTTGAAAAGAGCGGGAAAATACACTGCATAAATGTGGTTGCAAAACGTTGAGCCGGAATATAAATACCTACGCCTTATTTTATAAGCCTGAACTTGGATCCAGGGGGAGATTAAGTCATATCCCTCAAGTCATAGACCCGCTTTTCACCACCATGGTCCACGCTCCCCCCCCCCCCCGGTCAACACCTTTTCCACTGCTGGTTTTTTCCTCCCCCCCCCCGCTCAGCACCTTTCGTCGCCGCCCCACCGGCGTCCGGGGTTCAGCCCCCCCAACCTATTTTGCGATCCTACACCCCTGCTCATAATTTCGTCTGCCGTTGACTGAGCCTGCCTCCTGTGTGCGGCAGGTTCAATCTGATCCCGATTCTGGCCGACATTCTGATCGACACAGAGAAGGAGAAGGTGGTCAGGATGTGTGTCGCCACATTCCGGGTAATTACTCGAACGCGACAGCTCACATTGTCCGCTACTGAGTCATTGCAGTTGATTGACGGTGGTTATCAGTTATGAAATTCCAAGGTGGTATTGGATATCAAAGTGCTACAGTGACCAATCGTTGTGCGTTGACCCATTTTGATCCTAAGCATTTGACGATACCTCGACGATGTGACGATACTTAAGCATTCATAAAGCCGTAAGTAAATTGTCTCCAGACTTGAAATCTTCACTAAAAGTGTGCATAACAAATCACAATTGACCATGTAAGGGGTAAGTAAAGTTTTCGCGTTCCCACGCTGAGCGGCTGTCGCTGCCGGCAGAATCTGATCGAGAAGGTGCAGGAGGCGAGTGTGAGGCGCGACAACTCGATCCAGATGGTGCAGTGTAAGGTGCTGCGTCACCTGGAGCTGATCAGTCAGCGCTACAGCAGCGACGAGGACCTGATGGCAGACGCCAGCTTCCTGACGGAACACCTCACCGCCAGCGTCCAGGATCTCAGGTGGGCCCGGGGGACATCGGGAGGAGGCTCAGGTAACAGGCGAGTGTCAGGGGATAGATGAACCGAGGTGAGGGTCTGTGATATCGGGTGAAACCCGTGTGATCTGCGAACTCAGATGGCATCAGACTATTCTCAGCTGACGGAAGAGTCACGGTGGGCCCTGGGTAATATCAGGTAAAAGGTAGAGGTGTTATAGAATTCTTCTTTCAGTGCCATTCATATATGCTTGTTCGTGGTCCCACTCTGTCTGTATGCACTGCAGGCGATTTTTAAATTCAACTCCAGTGCAGCTTAGTTATTGTCTGAGCTGTCCTTATACCGTGAGTAAACTGCCTGCGAAGTGAGGATGGTTTGTGACATGTCGAGCCGGCGGTAGCACTATCTGATGCCCCGTCTGACCTCACCCCGACCCCTCGGCCGCACCACTGACCCGTCTCCCTGCACGGTGTCGACCAGCTCGTTTGACGAGTACAGCACTGAGGTCAAGTCAGGCCGGCTGGAGTGGTCACTGGTGCACAAGTCGGACAAGTTCTGGAGAGAGAACGCCAGCCGACTGAACGACAACAATTACCAGCTGCTCAAGATCTTGGTCAGTGTCCTGTTGGGGCGGCAGGGAGGGCATTCTATGGCAGACAGGACGTGGTAGGACGGTCAGACTAGTGGGTTATATAATCAGCAGTTGTTATTACGATGCGTTAAGCGGAATATGCGCTGTTCAGCTGCAGCTCGCCAGTTCAGTGAAGCTGTTTTCCCCGACGATTTGCGCTGCTTTGTAAGTTGACGATCTGAAGCACCCATGACTGCCGATTCACTACCTGCGCCATGTCTCCGGTCCCGGCAGATCCACCTGATTCAGAGCTCCAAGGACCCGCTGGTAATCAGCGTGGCCTGTCACGATATCGGCGAATACGTCAGACACTACCCGCGGGGGAAGCGGTGAGTAGTGCGCCGCCCCAACATCCGAGGTGGCCGCCAGCTGGCACCGCCGTGTCTTCAGCTGGCAGTCACCTGACGGGGCCAGAACAGGGACTGATTTCAGCGTGAAATTTGTCAGTTGTGTCTTTGATCAATGATATGGAGAGGCGAGAAATGGTGTGATAAGTGAAGTGTCCTTAGAGATACTTCACTTCGCGTTATGCAAGCGTTCGGATCGCTCTTCCTTTGTGAGCTGTTTATGTCGTGTTTAGGCAGCCTAAGTTATGTCTTTGATTGACTCAGATGGCCGCTAACTTTGTATCTTGTGTTGACTCACCTATCAAACTGTTTAAACTAACTTCAACTGGGATTCAAAACAAGTGGCGTACGTCGTCAAGGACTCGCCTGATAGAGCGACCACCGTGTGTGTGCGCTCACAGGGTGATTGAAACGCTGGACGGCAAACAGCGCGTGATGGACAAGATGCTCTCGGACGACCCGAGTGTGCGCCTGTACGCCCTGCTCACCGTCCAGAAGATCATGGTCCACAACTGGTAATTACTATTCCCTGGTATTATACTTTATTACCCTAACATTTTCCAATAATATATGCTTAAAGCCTTGATACTTCATAGCTTATTCTTAAACCGTCATAAATGTCTCAGACATTCATACAACTGATCGGTCCTATCACGTTTGCTCTACAAGGAAGGATGTACGATTCCGCTGCTGCTATACACAGCAATGCCTCTCGCTGATACTGACGTGCAGGCTCAGATGTCCTCGTTGGCATATTTAACCTTCTTGCCTGTCTCTGTCTTTGTCTCCAGGGACTACCTGTCGAAGCAGATGACGAAGGAGAGGGAGATCGAAGTCGGCAGTGATATCATGAAGAACCCTCTCGCCTCCCGCTAGTCCCCTGCTTAGCCAGTAGCCTCGCCGCCGCGATCCCGTGTATGTGAGTGTATCAGTGGCGTGTTAGTGTGTTAGCGGTGTGTGTAGTGTGTAACACAGCCCCCTCCCCGCGGGCTGCTTGGTCTGAGAGCGTGGTCCGCCGGTCGTTATCATGGCGACTGAGCGCCCTCCGGTATCTCGCCACCACTGTTCGTCGGCCGGTATCCGCCGCTATCACAGGTTACGTAACTCAGTCCGGTTTGGCCCTCCTCGGCTCGTGCCGATCTCTCTGTGTCTTTCGGCGCGGCACGGCGGCCGACCGATAGCCCTCAGAGGGCCGGCGGCGGCGGCGCGCTGCTGGCCCACCCCGCCGTCTCTGGCGACGGGCGACGGCACCCGGGGAGGGCCAACTGTCGGGGCCGCGCCGGCTGATAGCGGGCAGATTGGGCCGGTGCCGCTGTCGGGTTTTGTTGCCGGGCACGCCGAGAACAGAGACCGGCGGCTGTCTGCTCGTACACAGACCGACACCACCAGTCTTGTATCGGGGTCGCCGCTGCTTTTTTCTCGTGATAACGGATGCACCCGCTGCCTACGCACGGTCTTATGAAGGCCTCGCTGGCTGTATTTGGTTGGATTTTATATTTTATTCGTTGTTTGTAGACGGCCGTGAGGGGTTTTATTCCCATGCAACATTCCCAGAGAGGCTGATTGTAATCGGGGCGGCTGCAATGTGCAATGAATGAATCGGGCCGGCCAGTAGTCAGTTGCCCTGAGAGATTAGCTGAATGTGATGTAACTACTTACTGTATTGTGCATCCGTAGTCAAATGGTCGGGCCAGTATATGTCGCAATATAGCACAGTAAATGGAAGTGTAATGTGGATGTCATCTAAACAACGCAATGAATGCATTTAGAGCGCGTTTCACGGTAAACCGCCAATGGCCAGGACAACTTTGCGATCTCTTCACTGTGAGTCTATGGGTGAAATCCACGCTTGACTTCTCTGAAAGAAGTTGACTGCGTATGGTCCTACGCAGTTTCAAGACGAGACTTGATTTACAATGTTCGCCGTAATCGATCACGTGCCTTTATTTTACGCAATTTATGTGACACATTCGAGACTCTTTTACTATCAGCATACAGCTCACTTTTCTCTCGTTCTTATGTGCTCTTAACTTGGGACGACTGTCAGACTTGTCCGCTTCGCAAATGTGAACTCATTGCATAGAAGTGACCTACTTACCCGCTTGCTCGACCTGGTATCAGTGTCGTGTCTGATTGTGCTCAATCACAGTCGATTCATCTCTAAATTGAAACGTCGCGTCGGGTCAACGGCACGCTACACACCCGTAGTGCGGTGTCGCTCTGTAGTAGGTGGGTACTGGGTACCCGGGTCCCGCGCGCGCAGAGTCCGGGCGGACGGGGGCCAGTCGGTCGGTCCGCTGCCGGCGGTGATGGCTCGATTGTTGTCTTCCGCTGCGCTGCGGCGTAGTGCGCGCACATACACTGCCCATCTCACAAGGGCGGTGAGACAACTCACTGAGCCGGGTGGGGGGGGGGGGGGGCGCCCGGACTACAGTGGTCATCGGCGTCACTGAGCCGGAGCAGGCAGGGCGATATACGTTTAGGGGAGAGTGGGGTAAGACGCCCAGGTGGGGTACGCCTACTGCGTTGACCTGACCTGACCTGACCCGACCTGGCCTTAATGACATAATCTGTGATCAAAACTAATTCGAAATACGCGATCAGCACCCCGAAAACCCCATGGCAATCTCATTTTACGATGTTCTAACAGGTACTGATTTTCCCGACTTTTGGGTCATTGACCTGACCTAGAAGGTCAACCAATGACCTAGGACCTTAAAATTGAGTATCATCGGCTTCCTCTCGTCACGGGTAACACGCTTGTTTTTTCCGCGAAGCTCTAGCTCGATCAGGGGCCAAACGGCAACGGGCAAGGGGGGATCTAACGACTCCCCCCCCCCCCCCCGCATACGTTCGCGGCTGGCAAAACACCAATATGGGCGAGGGTTAACTCGATGCCATAGACTACGGTAGTTGATAGTAATTCGGCTGAGTATATGTCATCGCCGTTGAAACTCGACCCCAAAGCATCGACCTTGGTCCCTGAACTTCGCCGTTGTCAATTAAGGCCGGCGTGACACAGTTCTTTTGGGCACAGGATCCTCCAATCAGCGTGCTCCAATCATAGCGTCCCACTGCGCTCGGCCTGGACCGTGACGGCCGAGGGCCGCACGTCTCTGCGCCAGTCTTTGCTACAGCCCGGTTCGGCCGCCGCTGCCGTCGCATTGGGTCCGCTCGGACGCTCCAAGAGCAGAGCTCGGGGCCGCTCTGACGCTGCAAGAGCAGAGCTCGGGTCCGCTCTGACGCTGTAAGAGCAGAGCGTCTCGCCGACGGGAGGCATCGGGGCTGACAGGGAGACCGACGCGGTGCCCTGCGCAGTGCTCCGGGCGGCGACCTGTGAATGGTGACCGAAATCCACCGCGCCGGTGTGCTCCGGAAAATGGTCAGATAGATTGTCAGATAGTGGCCCTCGTTGCATGGGTGTAACTTTGTATACTTTTGAGGTCCCATGTGGGACCCCAATACGATCATTTGGGACCCCAATTGTCATTTTGGGACCCCAATAGTGGAGGCCCCCGAGACGCACCAGCTACTTTACAAACGGAGGTCCGATGTTCATATAGAAGGATCTCTGTATAAATAGGAGGCCCCTTGGACAAATCGGAGGCCCTGTTGGACAAATGGGAGGCCCCCTGGACAAATAGGAGGCCCCCTGAACAAGTAGGAGGCCCCCTGAGCAAGTAGGAGGTCCCCCGAAAAACAGGAGGACGCCTGGAGAAATAGGAGGCTCTTTGGACAAGCAGGAGGCCTTCTGGACAAATAGGAGGCCCTAGACAAATAAGAGGCCCCTAGACAAATAGGAGGCTCCATGGACAAATAGGAGGCCCTCTGTACAAATAAGAAGCCCCCTGAACAAATAGGAGGCCCCATGGACAAGTAGGAGGCCCTCTGTACAAATAGGAGGCCCCCTGGAAAAATAGGAGGCCCCCTGGACAAATAGGAGGCCATAGACCCAGGAGGCCACTTTCACAAAAGGAGCCTCCCTGGACAGTTAGGAGCCCCCTGGACAAATAGGAGGCCCCTTTCACAAAAGGAGGCCCCCTGGGCAATAAGAGGCCCCCTGGACAAATAGGAGGCCCCTGGATAAATAGGAGGCCCCTGAACAAGAAGGAGGCCCCCTGGATAAAGAGGAGGCCCCCTTAAAATAGGAGCACTCTGGATAAATAGGAGGCCGCTTGGAAAATAAGAGGCTACTTTAACCAATAGGAGGCCCTCTGGACAAAAACGGGGCCCCCTGAACAAGTAGGAGGCCCGCTGGACAAATAGGAGGCCTCTTGGGCAAATAGGAGGCCCCCTAGAAAAATAGCAGGCCCCTTGGACAAATAGGAGGCCCCCTGGACAAATAGGAGGCCCCCGGGACAAATAGGAGACCCCTGTACAAATAGGGGCCTCTTGAACAAATAGGAGGCCCCATGGACAAGTAGGAGCTAGAGGCCCTCTGTACGAATAGGAGGCCCCTTGGACAAATAGAAGGCTCCCTTAATAAAAAGGAGGTCCTTCCAAAAAGGAGGCCCCTGGACAAGTAGGAGACCCCTGCACAAATATGAGACCCCTGGTCGAATAGAAGACCCCTGGATAAATAGGAGGCCCCTGGACAAATAAGAGGCCCCTGAACACGTAGGAGGCCCCCTGGATAAAGAGGAAGGCCCCTGGAAAATAGAAGCCCGCTGGAAAAGAGGGGACCTTCTGGACAAACAGGAGGCCTCCTGAACAATAGGAGGCCCCCTAGACGAATAGGAGGCCCTTTGGACAAATAGGAGGCGCCATTAACCATAGGAGGCCCCCTAGACAAATAGAGGCCCTCTCTAACAGTAGGATCTCTGTACGTGCAATAGAAGACCGGCGCTCGACCTGCAGAAGCTAAGCGTTACAAAAAGGAGGCTCTCTGTGCAAGTATGTAGTCGAAGTAGGAGGCTCTCTGTACTGTACCTACAAATAAGAGGCGCCCTGGGCAACTTAGATGCTACATAAATCGGAGGTCACCTATAAAAAGCGGGACTCTGTTGGAATACCTGTTTGAATAAATTGTTTTCCTAATATTTAAGTTATTTAATCCTCGCCCGCACATAGGGGGGGGGGGGGGGGCAGTAGAGATGTCAATCGGATACCAACTTTTTGGTATACCGATACCAAACCGATACCAACTTGGTATTTGGTATTTCAATCGTAATGTGTTTGGCATTTTGTTGGTATCATAAGCCCTCACTAATGTATAAGAGGCTAAGAAATCGGTAAAAAGTTGGTATTTCCCTCAGTTTCCCAAGTTTGTTTGGTTTCGGTATTTTCCCGTGGTTTTGGTTGGTATTTGGTTTGGTATCGGTATTCCGACTTTCCGTAATTGCCATCACTAGGGGGCAGTGATTGCCACCCCCACCCCCCAGGTAGTTTTTCTGCTCTGCACTCAAAATTTTGATTGCTAGAAGCCGGATGTTTTGTATAGCTGCTTCTCTAATTCCTTTCTTAGTGTCCACTGAAAATTTCAAGTTTCTGTGGTTTTTGATTTCGGAGATGTGACCTTATTCTTCAGGTGATGTCATAACCCAAATGACAAATACCCAATATCTTGCGTTGGCTATGGCCTATGGGTCTTGTGAGCTTTTGACACCTTGATTTCGGCCTTTTTTGCCAGTCTTACCCCACCTACCATGGATCATGTTGTTCGACGATGTAGAGATGCCAGGGTCATGGTCAAGGTCAACCTAGGTCATCTAAAAATATTGCGTTTTAGGCAAGCTGAATTTACTTCGCGAAGTTTCTTTGACTGTATTTTTGGTAAAAGCTTTTCTGTAGGGACACATTCACAATCGGTGCACACATCAGTATACACACAGACACACACAGACATACAAGCACATATCATTGACCTTGACCTAACTTGACCTGAAATGACCACAGCCAGCAAAAACCTAGTCGGATAGTGTGACAAAGAGGTTCTAGCTGGCTTGGCACCACAATACGGCAGCGTCATCGGTATATGATGAGCAGCGCACGTGATATTCCAACGGGCAACGGTGACCCCAAACAGCAACATTCTTTAGTTTGACCTGACCTGAAAGGTCAATGACTGACCTGATGAGGTAAAATTTGGTATCATTGGATTCGTCTCTTCCCAAAGAATCTGTTGCTCTTGACCGCGAAGCTTAAAATCTTGTAAGAAAAAAATTGTGGTGTGGTGATGTCGTATAAAATACCTACACAAGCAGCGGGCCAACTCATCATATACCGATGACGCTGCCGTATTAGTGCCAAGCCAGAGAACAGCTCTTTGTCACACTATCCGACTAATTTGCTGGCTGTGGTCATTTCACGTCAAGCTAGGTCAAGGTCAATGATATGTGTTTGTATGTCTGTGTATGTCTGTGTATGTACTGATGTGTGCACAGATCGGTTTGTGTGTCCCTGCCTATTCCTACATGAGATCATGAACTGAGAAGCTTTTACTAAACATGCATTCAAAGAAACTTCACGGAAAGTAAATTCAACTTGCCTAAAACGCAACAATTTTAGATGACCTAGGTTGACCTTGACCCTGACCCTAACATCTGTACATACATCGCAGAACAACATGTTCAATGATAGGTGGGAGGTAAGACTGGCAAAAAAAAAAACGAAATTAGGGTGTCAAAAGCTCACAAGGCCCATAGCCAACGCAAGATATTGGGTATTCGTCATTTAGGGCATGACAAGACCTGAAGAACAAGGTCATATCTCCAAACCCAAAAGCCACAGAAACTTGACTTTTTTAATGGACGCTGAGAAAAGATAGAAAAGCAGCTATACAAAAAATCAGGTCTCTAGCTTTTAAAATGTTAAGTGTAGAGCAGAAAAACTAACTTCGGGGGTGGCAACCCTCACCCCAGGTGCGGGCGAGAGTTAACCCTCACACTTTCTGGGGTCGGTTAGATTCCTTGCGCAATTCCGTGCCGTTAATTTTTTTTTTTATAATAAAGGCATTTTGTTTTATTGTCGAAAGTGAAAAAGCCAGAAATTTTCGTCGATTTCGGACGCCGCAGGGGAAATTTACATACAATGTCACCCTGCTGGCCTGGGACCACCAGTAGGGTCAGGTGACCTACCATTTCTTAATTAATATTAAAAAATTAAATCATGGCATCCGAGCTGTGACGAAAAATAAGTGGCCTAAATCCGAAGAGAAAACTGGATTTGGGGGTACCCTGAGTTTGGCTTCTGAGCCTCTGGTCCCCCAGTGAAAATTTCTTAGAGGAGGGCCTGGCGTGGTTCGTAAATTACCGCTTCCACGATTGGAGGCCCCTAATTGCTTGGAGGCCCCCCACTAAATGGAGGCCCCCTTGGACGTTTGGGACCCCAATGGTAATGTCAAAGTTTCACCCATGCCTCGTTGTGCAGATAAGACCGTCGAAGAGACGGGGAGGGGGTGAAGAGGGGGTCGATGGTGCTGTGGCGGCGTGACTCGAGTCTCTCAGTGCGCGACACAGCGCCGTCCCGGAGTGAGTGACTCGACCCGCAGCTGGCCCGGCTGACCGCTCGCCGACTGACAGTGCTGTCCCCAGGAGTCGCCCTGCAGCCCGAGACTCGTCGTCGATCCACGAAGACACCAGGAAACGGCCGACCTTAGCATAGGTAAGTTGCCAACTACACAAATCTGCTTAGTTGGGTAAGTAATAGGTATGCATGCGGCACTTTCTAAGTTATATAATACAATTGCAAACAGAATTCGGGATTCGCGGAGTGTAGATATTTTATAACCTTTTTAGGATTATGACTAGGGAGTGCATAATGCATTGTGTGGAGGAAGACGCGGAATTCAGAAATGAATGGGGACACTATAATAGCCCAAAATCTTAGCTTCATAAAGTTTTTCCTTTTTTACCGGAAGTGTAAGGCCAACTAATGACCCAATGACTTATGTCCCTCGCCGGACCTATAAGTTTTCTACATATGCCTCGGCCGTGGGAAGGAGTTGATAGGTACGACTTCCCCCTCATTGTTTTGCCCGCAAAATGAGCTAGAGCCTCGCGGAAATACGAGCGTGTATGACGTTACGAGACGCATTGATTGGTACCCGATTTAAAGGTCTCAAGACTCAGGCCAACTGGTGACCTCTGAAGTCAAATCATGTGCCCCAAAGTACGGGATCAGTTTTTCGTAAATAACTTCGCAAAAAATGGTCACAAAGCCGCTATTTTGGCACCATCGTGTTCTCCATACCCAGGCGCGTCGAATTATACTCTGGTCGGGTGAGGTCAGCTTAAATTGTTGACCTCGGATCAAGGTCAGGCCAGAGCTTTTCAGGTCACGAAGTTGGTCGAAAGAGGTTATGTCGCATATCACATTCTATTTGGCATGTCTTCCCGAGTCCATCGGCAGTTTTCCCGACTCGCTAGCTTAATTTGATCGGGAGCTATTCACGAAAAACTTACAACCTTAATGACGTCATAAATGACGTTACACAAGGTCAACAGTGCAAAAGTGAAGCATTGGGCCTTGCAAGGATTGCATGAAATCACGATTCCGTGTGCTAAAGATTGTTTTAGGTCATATCCCTGGAGATAGTTTAAGAACATTTCCGGCGCCCAAACAACGGTTTCCATTTTCCCCGTTGACTTATAATGGTGAGGTCACGTGACCGACCTGACCCCAGGTGACCCTTAGGAAAAATCCGAGATGTATGTACCTTCAAGTTGTTACAACTCTCGAGGATACTAGGCCCAGTTTCATCTCCCTGTAATAAAAGTTTCTCTGGCACTGAGGCCGTTGCGAATTTGCGACATTTTAGGACCATGCAGAGGTGCACTTATGTTATGACGTCAGTGGTGACCCGACCTGACCCGAAAATGGGGTTGACGTTACAAGATCCGGATTGAATCAAATGTCAGGTATGCCAACTTTCAGCTCTCTTTCTTTGGTTTGTTCCAAGCCATCGCGAAAAAAAAACTGTGGGGGAGGCACCTCCTCGGCCGGCGAGGGCTAAAATTGAGAACTATCTGCTTCCTCTCGTCACGACTCACAAGCAACACGCTGCTTAGATATATCGTGAAGCTGTACCGGAATCAGAGGCCGAACAGCTGGAGGTCCAATCGATCCCCTCCCTGTCCCCCGTAAACGTTTGCGCGGCTGTGGAAACACCAATACGGGCGAGGGCTGGTGCAGTGTACTATAGAGTAAATGTCAAAGACCTTTCGCACGGTTTTGCAAATTGCACCCCATCGGCGGTGTCACTTTGCAAGACGGAATATAAAACGATGTCGATTTGGGTCTGAGTTCCATCGATAGGAGACAAAGTACATATATAGGTAGGCATAGATGTTTCAGGGCGTTTGAGAAATCCATTCTTTGCAAACATTAACCTTCCAGGCGGTGGGGGAGGCATTTTTTGTCCCCCCCCCCTTTGGTTTTTTCGATATATCTCCAGAACCGCGCTGCGCCGATCGTCACCAAACTTTCGGTATCCTCCTGTAAACAGCTATTGCACATTGCGACAAAAAAATTCCAAAGGCTATGATAGGTTGGCCGCTAATGACGTCAGAGTGACGTCATTTCTGCTATTTTCGACAAAAAAAGGTTTCGCGGGAAGAGCTGTCAGGCCTACAACTTTAGAGATACAGAAAATGTTTCATTTATAAAAGGTGTAGAATTGACAGAGCTACAAAACTGCTATCTCGGATTTTTGAAATTTTTGGCTTTTGACACCCGAAAATTAAAAAAAAATATATTTTTTGAATATAATAGCCGAAAAATCCAAAAAGTTTTTTGAATTTCGAAAAAACTGGAATATATGTGATAGTACCTACCGCTTTCTATCTACATACCAAATTTGAGATCGATACCTCTTTTTTGGCCAAGTTATAGCGAAAAAAAAACTGTTCAAAATTGATGACGTCAAATAGTCAAACTCAATTTTTAGCAATTCTAGACCTCGTAGCGCAAAACAAAGACCACCATTAGACTCCCATTTTCTGCCCCGTGGCGAGCTGCATCGAATCAATACCCATTTTATGCAAAACTATCAACATTGAAATTTGACCTTTTTTACCTGACCTTGACCTGACCTCCACCAGAAAGTGACCTAAACTGTAGGTACCTGATGGTCTTATTACCAACACCATTGAGTTGGAAATGAAAAATTGGCCATAAAACATGCATCGCACAACCTTAGTAAAGTTGGGTTTATGTGGTGACCCTTGGTGACCTGACCTGTGACCTGACCTGGTATGACCAGTGACCTCTAATAGCAACATATGTACTAGACAACTGACGCCCTATCGCTGATTTTCGACAAAATACGTTTTCCGCGCTTTCCCTAGAAGACACGTGAACGTTGAAACATTTTATCTTTGACCTGACCTTTGACGTCATCGGTGATCCCGAGGTCAATGAAATTTGGTTTCCATCGACAAATTTGACAGGGCTATCGAACGCCGTTTGAATTTTCCGGATCCGTCCAGTATCGGAGATACGGGGGGGGGGGGGCAAAAAATGTCCCCCCCCCCCACCGCGCGGAAGGCATGGCCGGGAGGCCCACCGCCTGCTCCCGGCCACCCGCCTGCCGGCTTAAGAACTTCGCAAACTGTCGTTTCTTTGCAAACTCCGCACACAACCAGATCCATACATATCCATCCAGACTGATGCATGTGACTGAGTGGCGTGCCCCACGCAGCCCATGCTCGCGCAAAAAGGTGAACTTTGTCCGTCCACAATGGCTTATGACTATTCATCACGAGCATGTGAGCATGTGGCGGCATTACTGTTAGTAGAATCCAATGTAGGCACGCCGTACTCGTCTTTATCTGTGTAAAGCGATACCTATACATATACGACGAGACCTTCACAATGTCGTGGCCGATTGTCGGCCTGCGCCACACCTGTATTTGAACACCAGACAGTGCTTTAGGTGTACCTACTAAGCAGGTGACTTGGTCCGTGATTCCCCGGGTCAAGAGGTGCCTATCACCTCGCAAGCCACTCAACCAACAGATAGTCACCGTGACCGTATCCCGTAAATGATGCTGACTGCAGGCTGCAGCCATAAATGGGCCTAACCAATGCAACTAGCTAGTGACCGTTGCTGTAAAATTTGGTTAGTGAGGTAACATTCTCAGAACATTTAAGAACATGAGTGTTTCCTCGAACAGTTTTAAAATGTCATGTTTGAAAATGTTCATGTTTGAAAATGTCCATGTCATGGTTTTGCTTCAAGCTTACTTCACTCTGACATTTGAAATAGTGTGGTCAGTTTAGTTAGCAGTGACTATCTGCATGTAAACACCACCGTCTCGACAGAAATGCTCTACAGTCTCACAGTCAGAGCAAGAAATGTGACAATCGTATCGTTATCACAGCCATAAAACAGCTAGGTACATAAAACACATCTTTATTCTTTATTGCACAGCGGTCGTCGATAAAGGACGTTGCGGTGCTTACAATAAGCCTCGGAAGACCCTATCGGTGACAGACCCGGCTGGAGTTGATTTTATGGCTTTTTGTCGACCGTCAAGGCAACCGCCAACCGTTGACCTTGTTTGCTATTGCCCGTACCTAATAGCCCAATCCACTGTGTTGTCTGCGGACATTGGCGGACATCGTTTCAGCCCATTGGCTATTCATTTCACTGTCTCACCGTTTTGATTGTCAGGCACCTATACTTATCAGGTTAAGCTATATAAATACGTTTACTCAAAGCATAAGCAATGCAAGGTTAGGTAAGCCATTTTCGTTTGAATGGCGATGCCAAAGAGGCATGCGTGAAGTTCGATGAAACGCGTTTGGCTCTTCCGGCCTATAAAGAAGAAGAGTTCAGGTGCACATGATAACAGGACTATGAACAGCACGGAATATATAGTCTACGACATGGAATGGACAAGATCGAGATTTCCTGTAACTGCCGAGTTTTTGGCGACCTGATGATTTAGTCGTGCGGATTCGCTGTGGTTACTTCCTTTACGAGGATGAAAGTATAGTTGCCAGACCTATAACTAATAGAAGGTGGGGCATAACGGGGTACCGGGGCAATATGAGAAGGTGTATTTTATTCTAATCAGGTGCCGCTGTCTGGAATCACTTCTGACAATTTAAACTTCGCTCGTTTGCCGCCCTTTTCCGGTGGACGCCGGCAGGAGGCGGCGTTGCTGAGGATGGTGGGTAAGGTTTTTTCATGGTGCTGATGTATTTTCCAACATTCGTTTGGTAACTTCCTAGGTGAAATCCGTTCGAGTAGGTTTGTCATAGTCAGTGAAAGCAATGACTCTCGTCCTAGCCAACCTTTCGCTGCGATAGAAAGTTGCCGGCTGTTTTGATAAACATGAACGATCCTGCTCTATTGCCAATGTCCTTCGGGGGTTAAAACGGGTTTCCGGTAGAGGCGATATGGGGTGGTGAATTTTACCACATTTACGTGCCCAGAAGTGCTTTTTTGTTACAATTAAAACTAGTTGCCTTTATTGGCCCACTCACGTTTCATAAATGCATTTAGAGGAGGGGTTGTGTTAAACGTTTCAAACGTTGTCATAATGTTTCTTCATTATAAGTACATAGGTACACAGGCACCGTGTATGTGCCTAATACATATTTTTGCCGAGATAAACTCTTTCATTTTCAGTAGCTTGGATCTTGGTTTAAGCGGCGAGTGCACAGGAACGTGCACCCAGCAGCCTGACACAAGTCCCAGATTTTCACCACGCCTTTTATCGTTTAAGTCGCAGTCCTCGAATGGAGTCGATGCTGGCGCCGCCACCGACCGTCCACCGCTGCAGCCAGGCGTCGCTCTACTGAAGAAACTGCATGTGTTCTCCCGCCGTTGCTGGATGGAGGCTGGATATCGCGCGTCGCTTTGAGCAGGGGTCGAACCGGGCGGAAGAGTTTAGCACATCGGGCAGGTCGTTGAGGCGCAGCAGGAGAGTAGCAGTCGGGAGTGCAGTGCGCGGGAGCTTGCCGTGGGTCGCATGCAATGTGATTGCTGCTGCTACTGTCCGGCTCATCACCTGTAGGGCATAGCTGACTTTCATTTTTCAAAGCTGTTTGGCCTGATGTGTTTCTGGCTTAGTTTTGGAGCAGCCCGTGGGGAAGAAGCGCATTCCAGTGCATAGAGTGTTTCTAAATGACTCCAAGAGGCTACTTCACCGTCTACTTCAATATCGTATTTCATTAATGCATTTCGTATGCATTTGAAGATGTGAGGCACGTCATACAGAGCAGCAACCTCGTGCCCGTCCACGGTGAACAAGCCGGTTTCCGCAGCTCCGAGCAGTATGTAGGTCGCCTGGTTGTTCTTTGGCATGTCACAAGTTGTAGCTAGCACAGTGAATCCCGCTGTTGTTACACGTTGGACACACTGTGTTAACAGCTGCTGCTGCACAACGGCCTTGGTCGTTCCGGAAGTCAGAAAGAAACCGATGGGCTGTTTCCAGCGTTTGGTGACACTGACGCCCCGCACCATCATGACCAAGGCGTGGTCGGCGCAGGCATTGGCGCGGCAGAGAGAGCCATGATCAGTGAAGCCCTCGATGACGTCATCACCCCGCTGGTAGGCCAACCTTGGTTTCAGCTGCATTTCGTCGAACGAAATGATGCACAGCTTGTCCTTGGCACTTGCTCCGGCGAACTTCTCTTTTATGAGAGCCAAGATAGCGTCATGAAAGCCAGGTCGCATCTGTATTTTTTCCATCTTCCGCAGAGTTCGAGGATGGGGAAGGACGTACTGTTTTTGTAGGAACCGATACGCCCTGGGACCAAGGCCATATATAGCCCTGGGACCCTGAAAGTAGAGCGCGAGTGCTCGCACTTCCTCATCTTCAAGTTTTAGACGAATTTCATCGAATTTCATTTAATTTTAGACTAATGTTAAAACTGTAATGCAATGAATATGTATAAATGCTCCTGTAACAATGTGTGCCAAAAGTTTCCAATAAAATATACGGTCACCATTTCAAAGTCACAGTTACGACTTGGCCCTTGAAGACGAATCATTCGACGATTGTTAAGAAAAAATGTATGAAATGTTAAGAAAATATATGAAAATGTAAACCCACGTGGAAAGAAATTCATCCGCATCCTCCGGATCTCCGGATATTCATCCGGCAAAATCCTTGATTTTTGGTTACACACGTGGCCATGCTAATCGAAGCTCCTGTCCATTCCATGTCGTAGACTATATATTCCGTGATGAACAGTTAGCACCAGACACAGTGGTCACGAGGCGGCCATGTAATGGTGCATGGGACTTGCCTCGAGGGACAGCTAGCGATAAGCGAGTCACACCTTATTCGACTTGGTGAGAGCTGAACTGCAGAATTTCTCCACTTCAATGGCGGTTTCCGTTGACCACCCATCCCGGAACATGAAAGAGGGAAAGCAGGGAAGGGGGGTGCATCCAAAGGGTGCATCCAATGAATCGCGAAAACGGATAATGTCATGACTATTCGATTTAATTCTTTTAATTGAAATGTGTAGTGGGCCAAGAAGCGTGTGATTCTCATTCATCTAGTGAGATTCTTTACAGCGCTGCGTGTTTGGTTACACAATGGGCCGTACGCATTTGTTAGCGCGATAAGATAGCCACAGCGCCGCTGAGCCTCTCGGATATTTCCTATCCTCCCGTTATCCGCTGTGACCTTTGCCCACCGTTCCCGGAGTGGTCCGACTCGCCACGCCGCGGAGGAGTCCCGCCGAGTCCTGCGACAGCACAAGGTCCCCTGCAGTGTACCCACGTTCGTCTTGCTCCTCTTCCAGCGCTGCAGCGATGGGTACCAGCGAGAAGAACGGCAGGGCGGGCGGCGGCAACTCGCTGCGTCCGCCCAACGCCAGCTACAAGGCCGTGGCGCAGGGCGAGGCGCAGAATCCCGAGGAGGAGAACTGCGGATTCTTCTGTCTCCAACCAAGATGGATGCGTCCTCTGGCAAATCGGTGAGTGCTCCCTCCGAAATACAGCCGGTGTGTGGTAGGTCGGGAGGGTCGGGATGAGAAGTGCACCTCGGAGGGTCGTTTGATGACAGGCGACCCTCTTGAGCGATCTCAGGATACCTCAATGAGCAGATTGAAATGAGATGGGCATTGGGCATGCAATTAAAATAATATGAAATAGCTTCACCTCTCGTTGCCACTGGCTTACCTCTCTTACTTCCCCAACGCTTGCTGATCCGCAAAGCTTACCGATCGGCCGTTCATAAACAAACCATAGTGTGCTTTTAAATAAACTAACTAATTTTACTGAGAAAAAAAAAACTTGGCATAAATTGCGGCACCTCCAACAAATTACGTATATTGTGTGGTGTGATTCCACGTAGTCATTCAGAGTTAGTCATGAGTTAGTCAAGAATCACGCTTCGCAGCTGTCCCATCGCGCCACTTCAATCGGCATATTGTGCATCACAGCCGTCCCTGTCCGGCGCATACGATAGCAACTGAGCGCCACAGTCGTCCCGGTCCGGCGCATACGATAGCAACTGAGCGCGATCCCGACTACCTACTTCACCCAAATACTCGGGAACTCGTGACAACATTGATAGCAACATCGATAGTCATTTAAACCGGCGTCATAGACAACACTAAGCGGATATAATTGTTGATCGGTTCCTGTCATTTGGCTGCGACTTATTAGTTATTGGTACGCACAAATCTGTTCATCAGTTTATAGGTTAGCCGTCAGATTTCACGTCATACCGGGCCCTACATAGGACTCTCTTGTCTATGGTATAGCGCGATAGGTATGTCGTCTGATGCCTTGCAACACAGTCGAGTCCCAATGATCGAACAATCAGCATCGTAAGCTAATGCATCCCTGCTGATAATTACTTCCCAGAATCAGCTGATTCATCACTGCATGTCGTTTCGTTTTACAGGCAGCCAAACGCAAACAGATACACATACACAGACACTAGCCACAGCACACATCAGGCCACATCAACGCGTCAGCGGGAGAGCTAAGCGAACGCCCGTTGACAGGGCAGGGAAGCGCTGGCTGTGGTGTATAGGAAACACGCTGGTATCCGCGGCCTTGGGGTTATGACGGTGATGCAATGCCGGCTAGCGCCTGGCGGCTATGTATATGGCTGTCTGGGTGGCCATGGTATGTCAACAGGTATCATGTTTCTACGCGGCGTTTCCCGTTGTTAGTCCTCGAGTGGTTCGACATCCTATCTCTAGCGCTGGTTCAAACGATAGAGAGCGTACCTTTTATCTGACAGACGGAACTTGTGTCGTTGTGGACTGTAGAAGGTAACGCCTTGTCAGGGCTACGAAATGATAACAACGAACCATTGATAAAGAGCATAGACGTGCTCGAGGGCATTGTTTTTATTTTCAGATACACGCCGCGCCGCGGGGAGGAGACCATGGTAAACCGAATGGCACCAACGATTGACTGTCACAGACCTTTTTCTATGCCGTCAATTAACTATAATACTACACAAAGCGCAAATTTTGGAAGGTGTGGTGAGTGCTTCAAAAACTCCTGAGCTCAAATATTAAGATTGAATTTCAGTTAGGTAATTTAGAGCTTCCCAACAATGCAAACAGGATGTCGTCAAAAGCAGCATCGTAACATCGTTCAAACTTTGTGGCAAAACTCATTGCAGTTCTACAAACCGTCAGTTTTGAGTTAACAGTTTTACCCATTGGAGAGAAGCATTAACCTAACACCTTAGGTCAGAGCCGAACTCCCTTTGAAAAAAAAAACTATCGGTATCTCCCTTTTGGGAATGTTTTAGCTCTAGATAGGCATTTGTTCGCGAGCTATGGGCCAATTAGTACAATGAACGCCAAAATTGTCGCTACGTGGCTGAGGATCCAATTTAGAGGCAATAAGTCTCCTCCCCGCCTCCAGTCCAACCGGTCAGGTCAGTCATTTCCGTTGATCTATTATTTGCTTCCAATTTTAAGCATACGAGTTGATGATTACCCCGGTCGGGCCCGGGGGGGGGGGTCAATCCCAACCACCGCAGCCCGGGAGGGGCGTTTTTCGCCCAACCCCGTCTAACTCCGTTAATAAGGGAGCTACGGAAATAAAAGTGGTACTAAACAAAAGGTCTCTATAAGATTATTCTAAAACACCTAAAATTTTCGTTAATCTTATATGCTTAATTCCAAGATGTTTATAACGCCCTGAAGCATCATTCTCTGTGAATTCCGCATCATATCGTATCGCCCAAGACCCAAGTTTACATGCTAATGCTCCGTTCTCCTGAATTTGAGCCCGGCCGGGTGCCGACGGCACGTGCCTCGTGTTTCTGATGGGCACGGAGGCTGCGCGGCGTCACAGACACCTGGGCTGACGGCGCCTCAGTGGCTGGAACCGTGCTGGGCCGACGGGCCGAGTCCGTCTCAGTGTGGGAGAGCAGTGAAAGCGAGGCAGCCGAGCCGGGAGGCACGGACCGCGGACGGTCCTCAGCATAAAACTAGAGAGCAGGAGCTTACAGAGGCTCTTAAATCGTCGTCAAAACAATGTGAGTAGAATCCATGGGTTACCTGTGTTGGTAATGTCCGCGATGGGCAATTCAATCACGACTGTGCGATGAGCTGATTGATGTTTTTCTGCGGTTCGTCAGGCTCACCTACCTACTGGTGTACTGCTCGTGCGGCCTGATCCAGGGCATGTGGTACACCTACTTCGTCTCCATCCTGACCACAGTCGAGAAGACGTTCAAGTTCCCCAGCAGCGTGACAGGTGGGTGAACCAGCGCCGTCATCAGACGCATTGGATTATAAGCTGACAGCGTCGCTTATTACGTGAGCGGCATTTCTTTACACAGGCATGTGCTGCTTTAACCCGCGCCGGGCCGGTGCTCTGAGATGGGGAGCATTCATTCTGGCCAGGGTTCATTATGTCCAGGGTACGATATGCCCAGTGTCGAAATGGCCAGTGCCTTGAATGGGCCAGAGTTCATAATGTCCAGGGATTGCATGGTCCAAATGCGGCCTGCAACTGGCTGCAGATAGGGTATATTCAAAGAGGCCAGGGTTCATAATGTCCAGGGCACGATGTGTCCAGTGTTCGAAATGGCCAGGGTTCATAATGTAAAGGACACGATGTGTCCAGTGTTCGAAATGGCCAGGGTTCATAATGTCCAGGGCAGGATATGTCCAGTGTTCAAAATGGCCAGTGCCTTGAATGGGCCAGAGTGCATAATGTCCAGGGATTACATAGTCACTGATAGTGACGTCATTATGTAAAAAACACGGAACCAGCTCAATGCGAAGCAGTGCAGTGCCGAAGGCAATGCCTTAGGAGAGATTACAGGCCTGAAGCCTGATGCATAACCACTTAACCTAAAAATATTTGATTTACTATTGCTTGCAATCTATTCATGCGAGAAACTATTTCCTTATCCCCGGTAGGCAAACATCATTACCTTAGGTTAGGTTAGGTTAGGTTAGGTTAGGTTAGGTTAGGTTAGGTTAGGTTAGGTTAGGTTAGGTTAGGTTTGATTGGGTTGGGTTGGGTTGACTATTAGGGTGTGTCATATCTAATATTTTTGTCTCAGATCAAGCGCTTCCGCGGATATTCCTTGTCCCTGGGTTCATTGAAGCCCATTGGCACCGTTCTTTTTTCGCTGCACCGAAAATTCAGGCGGCGCGGGCCCAATCAATTTCGACATTTCCCGTGGCGCCCGGCGTTGAAGTCTCCATACTGAGCGCAATGCGTACTGTAGCGCTAACACCAGCCATATGACTCGCCGTTGGCCTGTAGCAGCCAACACCGTTTGGCGGTTAAAATTCGATTGCTTTCTCTTGTTTAAATGGACGTCGAACGAAACATACTGTTATCTTAATGTGCTGGGGCCGTTCAGGGACCCACAGATGATCCCTGTAATAGAATCACGCAGTAGCCTTGGCAAGACTATCCCGAGTGGGGGAGGGAGAATGAGAGCACGGATGGACAGAGGGCAACGTGAGCGGGGTCCCGGGTATCACCCCTCCGTCGGCAACACAATGTGTCGGCTTCCGAGTCACGTGCTGTCTCCCTGAGGCACATGAGCTAGCGAAGATGGACCGACGGGTCGGCGACCGGCGGAGTAACGAACGGCGGCGCTGGAGTCCTCATCGAGCACCCAGACGGGACTACAGAAGAACTGCGAGAGGCGGCGGGGAGGTTATGTTCCAGCTACCGGGCTGAGATGGTGGCGCTCAAGACGGCAGTGCAACATCTCCTGGGACACCCGCCCCTCGAGCGCGACATGATATCTGCTCCGACTCGCAGGCGTCGCTGGCGACGCTGAGGGGCGGACCAGCGGCCCAGACGTCCCCTCTAGGTGCCGCCATCTGGGAGAATATGGCGGCCCTAGTGGCTGGTGGGAACCGAAGAGTCCACCTCCAATGGGTACCGGCCCACTGCGAGCTGGAACACAATGAACGGGTGGACGCCATCGCCAAAGAAGCCGCCGCTCTTCCACAGCAGGACGTCCCGGTCGATGTCCGCACAGTATACCGTGCGGCGTCCCGGATGGCCAGAGCGGAGGAGAGAAGCAACTGGCCGGTCGGCTGGTACAGACGGCTGATGGATGGCCACTACCCGCACCGCTACCCAGCACGACACCACGTGACGTAGCAGTCGAGGTGCACCAACTGCGCGCTGGTCACTGGTCGGGATCCGCGCAGTACCTGCATTGAATCGGCAGGAACCCCGGCCGGGACTGCGCGCAGTGCAACTCGCTGACGTGCCGGGCGGCTTGCTGCCGCTGCTGCAATGAAGGGAAAGCAGACACGCCGGAGCATGTTCTGCTCCGCTGCCCGGCACTGATGCGTCTCCGGCTGAGACACCTGGGTAACATACTCCCGAAGGAGGAGGAAGTCCGGAGTAGCGGCGTGGTGGCGGCCCCGGGGCCGCCGCCAGATACCTCTAGAGCCGAGAGAGGCTACGTAGCGCTTGCTACGTGGGGAAACAACAACAACAACAACAACAACAACAACAACAACAACAACAACAACAACAACAACAACAGCTTGCGAAGAAGGTAGGTCAGTTTGGTTTTAGCTGCGGCGTGGGCGGTAGTGCGTGTGGCGCAATCGAACCGGACAATCCGTGCCGCAGTGATGCCATTGTGAAGCAAGGCGAAACATTTTGTTATCGGGTCTCCCAGTGTGCTGCCAGTAAATCAGCTGCCTACAAACAGAGATGTAGTGAACTGTGTGAGACTCTTGGCAGGGGATAGAAAAAGTGAGCGGACAGTTACTGCATGCGTGAAGCAGCGGAAGCGGTGGTTGCAATGTGGTCGAGTGAGGGCATACCAACGATACAATTACAAATGCACAATGTGGTTCGGAAGACAAAGTAAGTACCTACGAAAGATTTCGCCGATCGAACAAGGTGCCCAAAAGAATGCGGAAGGGACAAACGAAACAAAGTCTTCCTGACGCGAGTCTGTTTCGTAAGCTTTTTGACATCGCCCGCTGCCGCTGTAAAGAGCTGCGCAGCTGTACCTGTCCACTTTCAAACCGGGTACCGCCAGCGGAAATAGCATTCCTTCGAGACCAGAGAGGAGTTCGGAAGAGGAGACTGGGTGGTGTGGACTACGAGGAGACGGGGAACCGACGTGAGACTGCGATCCTTAGAATGAGACGGGAGCGGAACGAGGGGAGGGGCGACGTGGGTCAAGTTGGTCCTTCCTGATCTGTCCGTAGATCACCACCAGCCCGGCCGGCCTCACAGCCGACAAAACACACCTTTCAGTTCTGGGCTCTATTCCCCGACTCACCACGCTCACACCCCCCCCCCCCCCCCGGCGCCCCCCAGCGCTGCGTAGACGACCCCGCACAGTTATACATATCACTTCCCACCTCCGTACCTATTCCAGCGGCGTCAATATCAACGAGACAGGCCAGGTAGACTCACCGGCAACGACCGACACCAACGACAGCAATGAAGACGTCACAAGTGAATTTGAGATGAAGGAATAGGCATCAAAGACTCAAACGATGATGATCTGACAAACACTGCACTGGCAGCTGACAGGTATGGTTTACCCGACCGTGCTGTAGCGGCAGTCATCAACGGTGTTCAGATGTAGGCATATCGCCCGCGAAGTGATACATAATAACCAAGATTGACCATTGAAGATTAATGTCAGCGAGGCTGATAGGTACCTTTACATCTGTTATATATTGAATGGTAAAGATGCATCTTTTCTGTGTAACCGTTGTCTAATAGCGGATACTGCCTCGTTTGCATCGCTTACATCCGTATTGACAGTGTCTGTCGCCGCTAACAGGCGAAGACGCGCGCGGCTGGTGTTAGTGTCATCAAACGCATTACGCCAAACATGGAGACTGCAACGCCGGGCGCCACGATAAGTCCCGAACTTCTTTCAGCCGGCGCCGATCGAATTTTCGATGCATGGAAAAAAGAACTGCACCAATGGGCTTCCATAGACACAGGGACAAGGAAAATCAGCGGAAGCGCCTGATCTGTTTCTAGTGACACACCCTATTGACTATGTAATCCCTGGACACTATGAACTCTGGCCCATTCAAGGCACTGGCCATTTTGAACACTGGACACATCGTGCCCTGGACATTATGAACCCTTGCCATTTCGAACACTGGACACATCGTACCCTGGACATTATGAACCCTGGCCATTTCGAACACTGGACACATCGTGCCCTGGACATTATGAACCCTGGCCTCTTTGAATTTACCCTATCTGCAGCCAGTTGGCCACATTTGGACCATGTAATCCCTGGACAATGTGAACACGGGCCAATTCAAGGCACTGGCCATTTCGAGCACTGGACACATTGTGCCCTGGACATTATGAACCCTGGCCTAAATAATACGCACCCCTCTGAGATTCCGCGCCGGGCCGCGGGGGGGGGGTGTCTGAACACCCCCCCCCCCCTTCTAACTCGGCTCCTGGGCCACGTAGCGACACGCGTTAAGCGGCAATCGAAAGAACGTCAAAAATAAGGACGAAAACACTTCGGTCATTTTTTGGGTCAGGTCAAAGGTCAGGTCAACAGAGGTCACCAAAGGTAAAATGTTGACTATTTCAACATTTTGGAAACTGCCAACGGCTATCTCGGGAACGGATAGAGCTACAGCGCCGCAAAAAAGCGCATTCGATAGCCCTTTTACAGACCTTTCTGAGTAATGTTCTCAGATTTGACCTCAGGTCAACGGTTTAGCCTCCAGAGGGCAAAAACTCCAAAAATAGCCGTTTTTACGAAAAACGTTTTTTCGGCAATAACTTTTGACTCAAAAGAGCTATGACATTACTTTTGCCAGCATCGTGTTCCTCTCGTCGAGACGCGTCGAATGAACTATAATTTGACCTTGAAAGGTCAACTTGAAAATTTGACCTCAGGTCAAGGTCATGACCTGATCGGAAAAGGTCATGTTGCATATCAGTCGATCCGCAACGTCGAGCCGAACACATCTAAGGCGTTTTCAGCGCTCTAGCACGCCTCTATCAGAAGTTATCATCGAAAAACTGTTAGATTCTGTTCGTGACCTGAGATGACCTCGGGGACATAACGAGGGGTCACAGTTGCCATTTTTTGGTTCAGTGTGTCTATTTTACCTACATCTCTATGTTTGAGAGTGTCTAGAATAGCGTTCGTGCAAAACAGACGCATTTCAATTTTCTCCCATTGACTTATAATGGAGAGGCCGCAAAATTGACCTGACCTTAGGTCACCGATATCAAAATTCCGAGATATACATTTTATAGATAGTGTTGCTCTAATCAATCGCTGAAAGTTTCAAGGCAATCGTTCAGTCGGTGTAGCTATGACGAGCATTCTTATTTTTTTCTGAGGTGAGGTCACTTGGCGTGACCTGGTGACCTGACCTAAGGTGACCTGGGTCTGAAATTTTCACAACATGTGCGGAAAAGATGCACGAACAGGTGTGTCAAAAACGGCGGCGCTCCGCGCCGCCGTTTTTGAGATATCTGCGAAAAACCGCAAGGGGGGGTGTTCAAACACCCCCCCCGGCCCGGCGCGGGTTAATTGACAGGCGAGAGGCTCAACGCTTTCAGTTTTTTTTTTCGTCCGCTTGTTTTGCTTCAGTTTTGTATGTTATGTTATTGCAGAACAGATAACAACTTGGTTTTCTTTTGGTATTTTCCTCGCGTTGCCACCGAATTATGTTGTACCTAACGCATTTATGAATACTGCGTTGCGTCGTTATTTTTTTTTACCGTATTGCACACTGCACAAAGTGCTTGCTTGATTCGTATCACCAGAGTTCAGTTTAACATCACCCACGCTCCCGACAGGTATCGTTTTGGCCGGTAACGATGTGGCACAGGTGTTTTTCGCCGTGCTCATCTCGTACTACGGCGGCCGGGGCAACCGTCCGCGCTGGGTGGGCGCCGGCATGCTGATGAACGCTGTCGGCTGCCTGCTCTCGGCACTTCCACAGTTTGTGTGGGGACCGGACCCGGATGACATCGCTGCCGCCATGGCCGGCTCGCTGTCGGGCAACCTCAGCAGCGCCGGTGAGTGCAGAGAGGGGCGGGGTGGCAAAAACCCGGACCGGGAGTGGCGAGTGTGGAGAAAGGTGGTGTCAAACGGTACGGGAGGCGGGGGAGGTAACTGAGAGCTCGGCGACTGCAGGTGGGAAGCGCGGGCTGTGCTGAAGAGCATTATTGGGAGGGTACTGCAGGAGGATATGTATGCAGGAGGATACTGCACCGCAACACACCACTTCTCGACGCTGCGGCGCAATACACAAGATACTGTGCCGCAACACATCACTTCTCGATACTGCACCGTTACACACCACAAAGCGATATTAGCCGTTTTCACGACGGCATATCTGGCGAATGCACCTAATTCTCACCGATCTGCACTAAATCTCTTTGATAACAAACATCTTCATATGATAAACTTATTTCAGTGTTTTAATATTGATGATAATGTCTGATATGACAAGGCAGGTATATAAGCAACTTATCTTTTTAGGCGCACTTTCAAAAAATTGAAGACCAAATTCAAAACGTTCATGTGCATTTTGAACGTAACCTTTTGAATTTAGACTTCAACTTTTTGAAATTGCGTTTAAAAAGGTGTAGTGCGACCCTAGCTGATAGCCACTAAGAAATACACTGAACCTAATTTGACCGAATCCTCACCAAATCTGCACCTTATCTACACCACTGTACAGCAACACACCACTACTCGATACTGTGCCGCAACACACCAATACTCAATGGTGTTCACAATACTCGGTTGCTAGCCAGTGCCGCAATACACGTTTGGCTGGTAGACTGTCCCGCACTACACCATTGGTCGGTAGACTGTGCCGCAGTGCATGTTTGGCTGGTAGACTGTGGCGCAAAGTACCATTGGTCGGTAGACTGTGCTGCAATACAACATTAGTCGGTAGACTGTGCCGCAATACACTACCAGCCGGTAGACTGTGCCGCAATATACCATCAGCTGCATGGTAGACTGTGCCGCAATACACCAACGACTGGCAGAATGTGCAGCAAATGCAATACACCATCGACTGGTAGACTGTGCCGCAATACTCCAACGACTGGTAGACTGTGCCGCAATACTCCAACGACTGGTAGACTGTGCCGCAATACACCATCGACTGGTAGACTGTGCCGCAATACACCATCGGCTGGTAGACTGTGCCGCAATACACCATCGACTGGTAGACTGTGCCGCAATACTCCAACGACTGGTAGACTGTGCCGCAATACACCATCGACTGGTTGACTCAAGACTGTGCCGCAATACACCAACGACTGGTAGACTGTGCCGCAATACATTAACGACTGGTAGACTGTGCCGCAATACACAAACGACTGGTAGACTGTGGCGCAATACACCATATCGGCTGGTAGACTGTGCCGCACTGCACCACTGATAGGTAGGTTGTGCCACACTACCACTACTGTCTGGTAGAGTGCGCCGCAATGCACCATTAGTTGGTAAAATGTGCCGTAACACGCTTATCACCGCCTGTTAAAGCTCATTTTGTTATGTCTCATTTATACCACTGCGTTGACCGGCAGCGGCGCGGGACGTGGACGCGTCGCTGTGCCACCTGGACGAGTACGCCAAGGCGGCGCCCACCTCGGACCCCAGCCAGTGCGACACGGGGGACGTCTCGCTGGTGCCGGTCATCCTGCTCTTCCTGTCGCAGTTCGTCTCGGGCATCGGCGCCACGGCCTACTACACGCTCGGCCTGACCTACCTGGACGACAGCGTCGACAAGAAACAGTCGCCCGTCATGTTCGGTGGGTGCCAGCGGTCGAACTGGGTGGGAACCGCTGCGTGGTATGAAGCGTGGCATCGGAGTCAGCTGGAGAGTTGGAACGTAAAGAGTTGCTATCAGAGTAGGGGAGAGTGGGGTAAGATGCCCAGGGTGGGAAAGACGCCCCACCCCCTTTAGCGACGAAACAAAGAATCGCACCTGGAAATTAATGTTCTTAACATAAAGCGGAAGCCTGCCTTGTTAACTGCACAAAAATTTGCGAAGCTCAGTTGGACAACGGCTGGCTGGTGATTGCATGTTTTTTATTTGCTGCTTTCAAAAAATATTTTGGTGTCAAAACATTGTAAATATCAAAGAAGGTAGATAAATTTTGCGTCCCTTGCTATAGTCGTGATACATTAACCCTCTAATGCCCACACATAGTTCCACGGTTCCTAAAATTAGCACCTTGTGACATATGATTCATTTTGGGTCCCTTGTTCAAATTCTGGAGTCAAATATTTTTTCGCAGTTCAAATTTCGGAAATAAATTTTGTATCAAATATGATACATTGGGCATTCCACTTGGTAATTTTTAGTGGTATCAGACCACACAGAAGGAAGTGAAGACATAGATGAGAAAATATATATTATTAAAAATTTCAGTGATAAAAGTGGCAGTTAAAATGTGTAAAATGCCAACAAGACATCCTTTATTGTGCACTTTTTATCAGAACATTTTCTTAATATTTCATTGGCATCCTTCTTGTATCAAAATGTCCTTTCAGTCGGTGCTTAGGGAACAACGCTAATCATAGGCATCTATTTACGAGTGCCTTCTATTCCTTCAATTTCCACGATACAGCGCGTTGCACTTGTGCAATTTTTTCATAATTCAGACATGTGGGCCGTGCTTCTCAAACGTAGATGCGTTATGCATACTTGATATAGAAATGAAGACATTACAGTTGGCTCGCGGTAAGTGGTTGAAGTGAAGCAGTTCTGATGCAAAATGCTGGACAGCCTGCCGACGGACCGGGATTAATGCCAAAGACGATGTTGGTTTATCTTCATGATAGCCGGACAATCTCGGGTGACTGAAACTCTCAGCCTGTGAATCGTCAGTTAGTACTTTGACTGGTCGATGGTCATGCGGTCCTGATGTCATCGGCGTCAGTATAACAGCCGCGCACTGACCAGTGCAATAACCGTTGTACGTGTCAGACAACAAAGGTACAGGTAACTGTGCACCGATCGGCAGGAACTTGCACAATATTCATTGACCTCATATGGAGGTGAGCATACGCATTACGCAATGCCGCACTTTAACTTTTATTCTTATGGTCAGTACAAAAGTAGTATCCATGTTTTAGTACCTATAAATCCTTTTTGTTCAGTGGCACTCAGCTACCACAGTTGGCGGTATATGTCAATATATGGCAACAAATGACATACCTGGCAGTGAAAATGCTTGCCAGGTGTCAGGCACCTGCTGGAACCTGGCAGCAGTGCATGGTTACCTACTTCTTATATAGGAAATCAAAGGAACCACGCCCTTCGGTCCGGAGTCTGTCTTCATGGCGAGCCCGTTTAGCCAGCTTCCTCTGAAGATGACGGTATAGTTTTCCACTCCACATTCAATCTCTTACTACTGGGATGAACGGAGGAGATTTGAATAGCAAACAAATTGTGAGTCGTTCTCCAATATGAGTGAAAAATGCTGCTGGCTGCTAATGCAAGTCTTCAGCCATGCCTAGCTAACACATAGACCCACAAGACATAAATAAGCCCGTCCACAACCCCTGTTGGAATATCGAAATTGTGCAAGAGACCGCTGAATCCTCCTGTCCCTAACATCAAGTCTCAATTTTTGGTTTCACGAGTATAAATGCTCGCACGGATGATCGTTCCTTGAAATCAACAAGCTTGTCATCGATAGCATGTCATTCCTAACGTGGTTTTAGAAGATATGGTCTGCTAGTGTCCTGCAGATCAAAAAGTTCACTATTGTCATCGTCAAACAGTTGCAAAACCATATTCCTATGAGCGTTAGAAAAGACGAGATGTATGAGGCATGTAAGGCCACTCATAGAAAGCTAGATGTTGGAAGATTGACAAGGATGAGAGGCGGCATAAGCGTACCAATATCGTTATGACATTTTAAGTCTGGAGCGAAATAGAGTTATCTGGCGCAAGAGGTGCGAACTTCACAAATTTATGCATCTTGTACCATCGTCATTTGCAATGACTCACAGGCCATTGCAATGCTTATCACCTGAGAAAACTATGGTATTGGCACACCGTATGTTGCAGCGGCGAAAATTTCATAGAAAATATTGGAGTGCTATGCCCACTGTATCATATCTAGCATCCCCCAAAATAGGGGTCCATATCTTTGACCCTGAAAAAGTTGCGATGTTTTGCAACATACTATGATATGTGTTGAACATTTGTCTCACAGTATACCAAGTTTCTTTCCAAATAACTAATTTTTTTGTTTTCTAAATGCTTAAATTTACACTTGCATCTCAAATTGATTTTCGGCAAAGGACAAACTGACCCTCTTCAAAATCACCTGGTGGGAAACTGAGAAATCATTACTTAAAAATTTTGCCACCAGGTGGTTGCCAAGACGTACCACTTCTGATACAGCAGGGTTTTCAACAATTTTCACCTCTATGATTAGCAGGCGAATTTTCTGCAAATTGACTTACAGATATGATACCGGGGGCACTAGAGGGTTAACATGCTTGTACTGTGTCCCAAACAGTTTGTTTCATGGTGTAGTTTTATGGCTAGCAAATTGTACTGATTTAATGTTACTTCGGTACCTTGGGGTAAGATGTCCCCTGTCCTGATGGGGAAAGACGCCCCCCCCCCTAAATCCGTAGGCTGTCCTTCAAGCAGCCCATCAAATCATTTTATTACATACTTGTGATGAGTGACAAAAGCCGATCTCGGTCTATTGAGAGTCCAGTACGGTCGGGTGCTCTCCATGCCGGTCTCTCGGCCCAAACAGCGACTTTTTGGGCGGCATCTGACTCTAAGAGCCCTCACGACGGCCTCTGCGGGCCCCATTATTGGCTCCAGGGCCCCTCACGACATCCTTTGAGGGCTCCCACGTTGGCTCCACGGGCCGCGCTGGCATCTGAGGTCCCCACGATGGGCTCGAGGGACCTCAAGCATCATGAAGACCTATGAAGGGCCCCACATTGGTCTTCGAACGCCACCACGGAGGCTTGTTTGGCCGCGCTGGCCTATGATGGCCCTAACGATGACCTCTGAAGCCCCTTACGACTACTTTTGAGGGCCCTTACGATGACATTTGGTGTCTACTGCAGGCTCGAAGGGACTACTGATTCGTTCAGGCGATTCACGTGCCCATTTATGTCACTAATAGTGCAGGGGGCATCTTCCCCAACGCCAGGGGGCGTCTTTCCCACCCTGTGGGGTAAGATGCCCCCTTTCACTTCTTCGGGAAAATGCTTAATAGCAAAAAAGTTATCATATTTCAGGCACGGAAGTATGATATTTTTGGAGAAAAATGATGTCAGCTTCCGTTGAAACTCCAAGTTTTTGCTTTCCGATCGTCATTTTCGAATAATATATGACATAGCAAAACCCTGGGCAACTTTCCCCACTCTCCCCTACTGTGCTGTGATGTGTTGTTAGTGTCTAGTGACATTGTAGACTCAATCCGAGTGAACCCTGTGTAAGAACATGAATGATCGACATCCGGCTTTGCAAACTGGGTCATACAGATCACAAACATTTCTGATACGGCGGCTATCAGTTTGCTGACTGCAAAGTCGGCATCAAGTTCGCTATCAAAGCATGTCTCATGACTCAAAGCGTGTAAACTTTGAGTTGAGATGCTCAATGACAATAAACAACTCATTACTCAAACCACATTCCGACATCCCACAGCAGCCCCGCATCCGTAGGTACTTTCCGCTATATGTTATAGTTGTCACCTGTCAAACACCGACAGCACGCTTACATATGTCCTCTCCGACAGCCATCTCCGCCGGCCTGCGCGTCATGGGACCCATGCTCGGTTTCATGCTGGGCTCGTTCTCGCTCAGCAAGTTCGTCATCCCCAGCCTGAAGCCGACCATCTCGCAGCGGGACCCGCGCTGGATCGGAGCCTGGTGGCTCGGTAAGACCGCGGCAGCGCCGTCCGCGCCACTGAGGGCTCTGACGTGCGGGGCATCAGCAAATGCCAGTGCCGCAGTGTCTGTCTAGACATTTTAACGGAATCGATGCAATTTGACGACATTTATTGATTTTTTTTTGTTTTTTATCACCGAAATTTCGGCTGTGAATGTGAAAGCACACCCAGGCCTTCTCTTCCCGACGCCGGACCACACCTAGCTAACCAGCCCTCTCTACTCCAACTCCAGGTTTCTTCGTGCTGGCCGGCCTGCTGCTGGCGGTGTCGATGCTGATGTGCCTGTTCCCGAAGCGGCTGCCGTCGTCGAAGGCGCCGGACAGTTCCTCTGACTCGGCCACCACCGAGGAGACGGAGGAGGTGATGATGGACAAGCTGATGGGCAGCATGAGCGAGCTGCATACAGGCGCCCGGCCGGCCGAGCAGCTGGGCGGCCTCCGGGAGGCGCTCTTCAGGCTCTTCAAGAACCCGCTGCTGATGGTCATGCTGTTGAACGTGGTGTTCGCAGTCATCGGCTTCATCGGCTACTTCACCTTCATGCCCAAGTACCAGCAGGCGGCCTTCAAACAGAGCGCGGCCAAAGCCAGTCTGTTCTCAGGTAGATATGTCGCCGACAGATGAAACGGTGCGCGTATGCAGATGTTTGAAATCAAGCTGAGAAAGATGCGATGGTATGATGTACAAATTTGCTCACGTTACAGCGTAATTTCTTATACATCAATATGTGATTATCCTAAAGAGTTCGTCCTTCATTTATGTCACGGCCAGAAAAAAAAACAATACCACCGAATGTGCGGATACTCGGTGCACTCGTATGCCCGTTCCAGCTCCAGTCTACAGCGATGAATAGTGCGATTACCGACCTCGCCGGGTTATCCCTGAGCGACCGGGCGCGGACATCTCTCTATGACACCGTCCCATCATCGCCAGGTCTGTCTGGCGTGCTGGTCACCCTGGCCGGCTACATCGGCTCCGGCATCCTCATCAAGCTGCTGCGACCGCGCGCCGTGTTCGTCACCGGCTACAGCGCGCTCGTCAGCGGCGTGCAGACGTGCTGCATGTTCGCGCTGATGGCCGTCCGATGCCCGGAGGCGCCCATGCACGGCACCCTCGGCGACGCTGGACAGTGAGTGGACCCGGGCACGGCGGAAGACGCTGGGGTAGCTGCTGGATCCACGTTTGGATCCCTGACCATCACTTTACCAACGCAACCCAAGGACAGAGCTCTTTACTGTCCCTGGCCAGGACACTGTCCGATAACTAGAACTCTCATTAGGAGCTGCACCCCATGTCCAACAATGTGACTATCCAACGTTCGGATCCCGATGTCCATATCGCGGAGCACACGTTGGGAAGATTACGCAACACCACCCCGTGTCCAGTCTCTTGTTAGTCCCTCACACCGCACACCGCCCCGCAGGTTCATGCTGACCGCCGACTGTAACGCTGGCTGTGGCTGCAACGCCAACGCGATGGCACCCGTCTGCTCGCAAGACGGCATGGCCAACTTCTTCAGCCCGTGTCTGGCCGGCTGTCAGACCTTCAGCACCATAAACGGCACCACTGTGAGTCCAGACCCCCCCCCCCCCCCCCCCAGCGGGCAGGTCGACGTCCGTGGGCCGAGAGCGAGAAGGTGTACGACGGAGGTTGCGTTATGCGTACCTAAGTCTCCCAGTCATCGCGGTATTCTGGCTGAATTAACAATGTGAACAGCTAACTCGACGAACAAACCTGTTTCCCGGTACTGGCTCCACGATGTTTAAGCATGCCCAGCCCATGTCCAGTAGCCAGTTGCAGACTGGTAGTTGGTTTGCGGTCGTGGCTTTGACCGTTGACCTGTCGCTCAGAACCTAGGCCCAATGACACTTCTTCCTGTCCTGGTCCGTCCACCTTCGCACAATTGACACGTCACAATCCCTCAGACATATGGCAACTGTAGCTGCATCGTGGAGGTGGAGGGCAAGAGCGCGCCAGGCGCCGGCACCATCTTCCAGCACGCGGCGAGCGCCGTCAGCGGCCTCTGCGACATTCCGTGCGACTCGCAGTTCGTCACCTACATGATCATCCTCGCAGTGATGAAGTTTGTCGGCTCGACCAACCGTACTGGCGGCATGCTGGTCTTCTTCAGGTGCGTTAAGTACAACGATGAGTGGATTTTCATGTTTGCTGCCATCTAAGCGCTAGCGTGCTGTTGTTTGCGTACTGGTCACCACTCAGGGTCACAACTGACAACCGACACCTCTCCCAGGTCCGTTGCCGACGCCGACAAGTCCCTGGCCATTGGCCTGGCCACGGCACTCATGTCCGTGTTCGCCTTCATCCCGGCGCCCATCCTGTTCGGCGCCGTGGTCGACCAGACGTGTCTGGTCTGGGAGGAGAAGGCGTGTGGCGGCAAGGGCAACTGCCTCTACTACGACACCGACAAGCTGCGAGTCTACCTGCACACCGCAGTCATTAGTGAGTTCCGCGACAGCCGGGAAGGGAGAGAGTCCGTAAGGGGCAAAGCTGTCTAATGTGGATAAAAGGAGATTTGGAATTATGGAAAACATTATCTGGAATCACTCTCGCTACAAAACAGAGCAGATAGCTTCTTATCACAGTCGCAAACCAGTGATGCATGCACCCCGTTCCACTCGATTTCCACCAAACCATCCTATTCTCTCTTAGTTCAGTAATTGCTAGCTTTAGCAACATTCCCTGGATCAGATCAAATCAAAATACCTCTACCAACATTTTCGGCAGCTGTCCGTCACTGCAACTGTAGCAGAAACTCACAAATGCGATAGTCGAATTTCAACTGACGTTTGAACACCCGCTGCACCCGTTTCAGTTCCATTCGCCATCAGTTTCCTTCTGGACATGGTGGTGATCTACCTCAGCCGAAACCTGAAGCTGTACGGAGATGACGAGGACACTCCTGCCACTAAGAAGGGCCAGAAGAAGCAGAACAACGGCACCATGGACATGCCCATGTAGCCCGGCGCAGGCTGTAAGGCCACATGTCCGTATACCGCACCATCTGCGCGCCAGTGTGCGCGCGAGAATGTTGGTGCCTGTTTGCACGTCTGTGACCTAGTGGGCGTTTCGGTCATGTATGTCACCCCAGCCTCCGTATCATTGAGGGCTGACCAGCGGATTCCTTTGGCGTATGTAAGCTTTGTAATAGCTGGGACAGCTTCAGTATTTTCGGAGAGCTGCCGAGACCCGCCGGTCGCTGAAGACTACCCGAGCCGCCCTTCTGACAATACGAACTAGGTCAGCAATGAGGTGGAAGCGATGACTGTGCCATACCATAGCTCGCGCCGGCCAGCAACCCACTGCAGGTGCCCGACGCTTAGTTCACTACCTGTACATGTGCAGTTATCATAGTTTATCACCTGTGCAAATGTTGACGGCGAGAATGTTGTTGAATGACGTACCCAGCAGGACGCATATATGAACTGTTGTCGATACTCGAGCATGAAGAAGCACGCGAACAACTGAAGTAACCAATACCATGGCGCACCGTGTGGAGACTGTATGGCGCGATATCGTGGTGTTGACGTCGCCGCCCGCCGGACGGGCGATCGGTGGGTCACCCCGACTGGGTCAGGCCGGCCGTCTGATCACAGTCAGTGATCACATACGCAGTACCTCGAGCGTACCTGTCCGTTACGCTGAACAGTTGCTCAATATCAGGACCAATGATTTGCGACGTGCACCGTATGCACGTCCCCAGAATGCATCGAATGATTCGTGTTTTACCCGTGACATGTGCTCATGATTAAACAGGGCCCAGGAGGTCAACAAATGTATTTAGAAACAGGCCTTGTATTCTAATTGGGGGTGTTGGTGCGAGTGAATCCCAACAAGGTTCACAATTCACACCTAGCGAGAGGTATCACCTGTATCTGCGAACAAGGCACACTCTGCCATTGGAATGCCGACAGAAGCCGCACTGTTATATCACACATTCAGCCAGATCTCTGGTCGTAAAATGCCCGCACCCTACCCTGGCTATTCTATCATCCAAGCCCAAAGCTGCTGTCACTTGCCACGACTTTGTACGCGTCCACCAAAGCTCTTGACACCCTCCCAGCCCATTCGTGCCCTTGAACCCACGTCTCCCTGTTAAGAAAACGTCGCCTGACACACCTACAGTCGCTGCCCAAGCTGGACGCTCACATATGCACACCCCAGCCGCCCCCACCAGGGTGGCGGCTCTCTGCTCTGATCACCGCTCTGGTCGGCCCACTGGCCGTCCTCACCGTCACCGACTGGCCCGCCTCCCGCCGCGCGCTGGTAGGTACCTCCCTCAGATGGGTCCTACATCTCGTCCTTGACGCTGCGGCCAAAGTACTCCAGCTTCTTGCTAGGGTCGGGAATAATCTGAAAAAAATGCAGTTTCATAAGCCGATAGCCAAGAATGGTTCAAAGTCCCGGAACCTATTGCTTTAATAAGTTTGTTACACAAAAAGTGTTCGATACATGACATCAATATTTCATTACTAATCTAAAGATGACATGCATATTGCATAGCCTGTTACTCGTTATTTTACGTTAGAAAAGTGGCAGGAACAATTAAACACTTCATTTTTTCTTTTCAAGAATTATGTTGATTCGAATGCTATTCGAGATCATTAGTCATTTCATGGTTAAAATCGCAATAAAGCTAACTGCTGCACAGTGATGATGATAGCAGGTCATTATTTCCATGACGTGGGTAGCTGCATTAGTAACATGTCAGGCTCCTTGCGAGGTCAAAATGTGACTAACCAGTTGGCGTGGGGAAAGTTACGCAGGATGATCAGAAACACTGCTACGGAATCGCAAGTACGAGGTAACAGCAAAACATAGACAGCAAACATCATCACATCACGTCACATCAATGCCACAGGAGGGCAGGTCTAGCCGTCTAGTCGCAGCAGGTGGAGATTAAAACACAGCACGGCTGAATCCACTCACCGTGTCAGCGCCGGGCTTCCAGCCGGCCGGGCACACCTCGCCGTGCGAGTCGGTGTACTTGAAGGCCTGCACGAGGCGCAGTGTCTCGTCCACCGAGCGGCCCACCGGCAGGTCGTTCATGGTGATCTGACGCAGCACGCCGGCGCCGTCGATAATGAACAGACCTCTGGCGGCGGGGAGCAGAGGCACGCGACGCTCGTCAGACCCAGCGGCCGGGCTAGAGTGCGCCACTGCGGCCGCCGCCGACTTGGAGCGTGGGGACCGAACAATGAAAATTCACACAGGCCGGTAGATCTGAGGTAGAGATATCGTACTGCTATATATCTGACTTTATTTTTAAAAGAATTACCAATAGCTTAATTTTGAGCATATTATACATAATCTAAATCATCTGTAACATCGTTCTGCTCGATAAATGTGAATTCAAATGCCGGAGCAAAAGGCATCCCGACGATTTTCCACTACCGGTATGGACTGCTGAAAAGAAATAAAAACAGCTATCGCACAAGTTATGATTCAGAGTAGATCATCAAAAAAAAGTCTCAGAAAGTGACAGCGCCCAATAGGACTGAGCCCCGCAATCTCGCGCCGCGAGTGATGGAAATCGAGCTCGTGGAACAAAATCGGGCAGCTACCAGCGGCGTATTTAGAAAATCGCGAAGGGGGGGGCCAAGGGTTTGGAGGGCGCCACCTCACCCAAGGAGGGCGCCATACGGTCGCGAGATAAAAAATCACTCAACGGGGGGGGGGGGGGTTGGGAGGCGTTTTTTACCATGCCACCAGTTTTTTTTTGCGTAACCTCGTATCAGGGATGCGGAGCCGTGGAAATTTCAGACGGCTCCGGCTCCGGCTCCGGCTCCGGAGAAAAAAAATCGGCTCCGGCTCCGGCTCCGGCTCCGGGTGAAATGTTATGGCGGCTCCGGCTCCGGCTCCGGCCCCGAGTAAAATGGTCCGGCTCCGGCGGCTCCGGCTCCGGCGGCTCCGGCTCCGACTCAGTACATCCCCTATGCAATCAATTAAATACGGGTGGAAGAAAAATTGGATTGGTTATACTCGTTACTCTTTGCCATGACCGGCTCATGACCGCGTCCCCGCGCAAACGCACCTCGGAGAGAACTGGCAGAACAAAGGACTAGGAAGCGATGGCATTGGAAACGCAGTCGCCGCGAATCGGAGTTCACTGAACCTTCGTAAGCTGACACCCGTCTCGGCAGAGACGGTGCTGGGAGTCGCAGTCCACTGCACTGCACGCTGGTCCAGATTCACGTAAGACCCGATCAAAAATAATATTTGCCGTTTTCGAATTTACTTATTCCAGGGTTATTTTTCTTTTGTTATGTTCCTGGGGAACCAAGATATGCTTTTAGTTTGGCTCCCGAGCCCTCTGATCAGGAGCAGTGCGCGTTTAAAAGTGAGTGTTTTTTACCCTCTTTGCATGCCGCTTCTCAGCAAGTGACGAGTTGTGCTCGTGTGCTCACCAGTGAACGTTCGTGTCTCCAAGTTTTTGTGGTACCTCCAGTCACCCAAGGATGGCAACTTCCCAACCAAGTGGTCGTTTCCCCTTTTGAGCCAATACTGGGAGAATTCCCTTTGGTTGGAATCACATGTGGTCGTGCGGTCGCTTGTTGTTTGTTCATCGGACGAAATGGTACAGAAGGACAGCAAAGTACAAAATCAAACTCATATCATGTGATACCTACGACATCACTCTTCACTTGGTAGGAAAAGGTTTTGCTACTTTTTGCTACTTTAGCAGTTAATTAGATTTTCCCGTTTCAGATCCACTCAATGAGATGACGTCCCCCACCCGTCGGGAGCTTCTGGAGGCGATGCTGGGAGCCGGTCCCCTGATGTCGGACGAGGCATTGCAAGCTGGTGTCGAGTTCTTGTGTCTTTCGGTTCCTCCTGGACGTGTGCCTGACCGATCTGTCATCCGGGACGTCGTTCTTGATCACCGGAAGAGGATGCATCGACGCTGGGATGCTCCAGGAGTTCGACGGATCTTCGCGAAGATGCTGGACAAACATGCAGTCTGGCTTCTCGAATCTGTTCCAGTGGCGATCCTGGCACCTCCAGCTCCTGGGCAAGACGACCCGATGGATGGCCGCGGACGACCGTCGCAGATGCCGGCTGCCTTCACCCTCGTCTCCTCCCCCACCAGGCGCCGCAACGTGTCCCAGCTGCTCGACCAAGGATTCACCGGCCAGCAGCTGGCGTACGCGGCTCAGATGACTCTGAGGAAGGAGGGGAGGAAAACCGAAGCCGACATCATCAAGAAAGTTATTGCCGCAGACGGCCCGGACCCTACTGTGGTGCAGGCATCGTACCGCGGACCCCCTCCATCGCTTCCGAAAACGCTGTCGGCCGACGAAGCTCTCGTGTTGCTCTTCAACACCAACATGACACGAGCTGCGTACCAAGAGGTCCGTGAGACATCCAAGGACCACGTCGCCGACATCTTCCCGCCGTACAACTTCGTATTGGATGGCTTCTGTCCCCGTGCAGCAGTTGCTTGACCACACGGCGTCAAGGCTGTGCACGCTCCAGGAGTCGGTCATCCAATCGTCGGCAGCTCAAGGCTCCTTGATCCTGACCTCCAAGTACGGGTTTGACGGCGCTACCGGTCAACAAGTCTACCGCCATCGACAATCAACGGACGTCGATGACTCTACCATGTTCCTGGCGAGTATGGTCCCTCTGCGGCTCCGGACCGAGGATGGCCGAGTGATCTGGGCGAACCCGAAGCCAAACTCCACTTTCTTCTGTCGTCCGATCAGCTTCATCTTCGAGAAGGAGTCCAAGGAGTTGACCACCGCCACCTACGTCCAACTCCAGCATGAGGTGGAGTCACTCACGCTGTCAGTCGTCCAACTCACTAACGACGTCACCATCTCCGTCCGCCATGAGATGACGTTGACCATGATTGACGGCAAGGTCCACAACGCCATCCAGGGCATCCGGTCGCAACAGGTCTGCAGCATCTGCCGGGCCAAGCCTACGGAGATGAACAACATCGACGGAGTCCTGGCCCGGCCCATTGCAGGAGACCGGACTCAGCACGGAATCTCCACTCTCCACTGCTGGATCCGGTCGATGGAGATGTTCCTTCACATCGCGTACCGACTCCCGTTCTGCGAGTGGCAGGCCCGTGGAGAGGAGAAGCAGCGGATCGTCAAGGAACAGAAGCAGCGGATCCAGACCGAGTTTCGTCAGCGTTTGGGGCTCCTGATCGACCAGCCCCTTCCTGGCGGAGCTGGAACGACCAACGACGGCAACTCGGCCCGCCGCTTCTTCTTGGAGCACGAAACGTCTGCGGACATCCTGGGCCTTGATTCCACCCTGATCCGCCGCTTCAGCTACCTCCTCCGCGCTGCGTCCTCCAACTTCCACCTCGACGAAGAGCGGTTCGGCGTGTACGCGGTTGAGACGGCCAGGATATTGGTCAGTCAGTATGGGTGGTTCAGGATGCCCCAGTCGGTCCACAAGCTCCTGATCCATGCTCCCACTGTCTCCGCCTGCATGCTCCTTCCCCTGGGGGCGATGTCAGAAGAAGCCCAAGAAGCCAGGAACAAGGACTTCAAGGCAATCCGGGAGCACCATTCGCGCCAGATGTCCCGGGTTCAGTCCAACACCGACCTGGTCCACCGGCTTCTTGAGACTTCCGACCCCTTGATCAGCCCCCTCCGGATGCGGAAGCTGAAGACTCCGACGACCACGGCCACGGACCAGTTTCCTTCAGAGGTCCTGGCCCTCCTTCGGGCTCCATCGGTGAAGCTGTAGAGCCTGGGTGGTGGTGGTGGTGGTTGTCTTGCTGGTCGCGGGGATGAGCTTTCAGTGTGTGTTATGATGGGGAGGGAGGC